GGTTACAGACACGTTGCTCACGTTTAACGCAGCGGTGAACTTTCTCATCTACTGTGCAATAGGAACAAATTTCCGGAAAACTCTTACGGATCTTCTGATGTGTAAGATTAAGACAAGAAAGCGCAAACCGCATTTTTTATTAAAGAATAAACTTTCATCTAAAGAATCCACCGTCAGTACCACCTGGCCAAGCTCCCCCACCTGCCACATGCCGTCATCAAGAAAGAGCAGTAACAACACTAGCAAAGATGTCTCTGAAGTCTACGTACAAAACCGATCGAAGTGAAAAACTGTAGAAGTGACGAAATGTAGGAGAATGGATGAAAAAAGTTAAACGAGAAAAGTGCGAGTTGATGGTGCAGTTGGTGAAAGAATAATTTATTGAAATTATTTTTAGGCCTATAAATATTTATTGTCACTATACCCCGCTGTATCTCTTGCATTCGATAGCGGAGAGAGATTCTGACAGTTATAAAATAATGTTGAGCTTTTGACATTTAGATAATAAAAAACGCACAATACAAAGTATTGAAAATACTTTTCAACTTACTCGACACTGTGTGTATTTAACATATATGAGCATACCCTCTTAGTATTATGTGAGCATGACGTCATGGGTTGCATGCATTCCATATAACAAAAAACATGTTCAGTAAATTAAGTTGCAATATATTTTAGACATATCTCATAGGTGAAACGTTTCTTGGTTACTTTATTGACTTTATATTGTAAAACAAAATAAATCACAATTTGAACAGTAACCTCCTTTTGGTAGGTGTAATATTCTTGCCAACGGCATCACTAGGAACATCATCGAACAAGCTTCTTTTTTTATTTCCAGGCGTAAAATAACTAAGCTATTGATTGCGGTCTATAACACTCTCCCAAAATTGAACACAAAAACAACTTCATAGTAATATGATCCTATAATTTCCGAGTAAATCAGTGTACGTGAATGTGCCGAATCTTGGACACTTACAGGTGAAACTGCTTGCGAAACTCATAGAGGATTGAGCCATGGGCTGCGGCAGCATTTAGAATCAGTAACATTTTTCATTGTCTCTCACGATTAATTAATTAATTTTGGAGACGGAAAAGCACTGCTAAGCTTAGAAGTAAATAACCAAGGCCTAAAATCCTCATTTAGCAAATTGGCACGATTCCCATTATACAGTAAGTGTTCCAAAAAAGTGAGTCCATTAACCTCTGTGAGAATGAAAAGTTAGTTCAATTTTGATTGAAAACCCTACAATATCGGATAACTTCTGGCGAATTATGCTCACAAACAAATATGGAATGCTGAAGCTTCTCTATCAAATGTTTTATGTGAAAAAAATGATAAATTTGAGATGTAATAATAAAAAGAAGAAAAAGAAATACAACAACAACACAACATAATTTTCAAAAGTGAAAAAACGCGACAACAATTATCCTTTCCAATAAGGAGCAGATACAGCAAAACCAAGAAGCGTTAGATTTGATAGATATCGCATAACGGAAAAGGCAAGGCAGCAATGAGTGGCGAAAGTTTTTTTTTGTGATTCACATTCACGGCTGCAGTATAGGCGACCTGATGAGTCTGTTATGCATAATAACCATCGCATTAGTTTAACTAGTCATCCAACATAACACGTATTGGTAATGTATTTCATCGTAATGCCAAGAAAATGTTACGTATAATTTTCGAAGAATCGCTTCATGAGAGAGAACATGCTACACATTTAACTCTAACAACCATAAAGAGATTGAATAGAGCAGTTCGATAATTTCCAATGAAATTCACCCTTCAACTACTACATTATTTTGCGTAAATAAAACATTTACCGTGTATGCTACCTCATAAACAAATAAGCAAATGTCCTTTGAAACACTCATAAGAGAAGTACATGCCACAGACGCGACAGAAATTGCATTGCTTTTAAGCAATTGCAAAATTCATTTCTGGAAAAAAAGCACCACTCCTCCGCTTTTTTGAAATGATGTTCATGGTAAACTAAATCCCCCCCCCCCCACACACATATATTATAACCGATTTACAACAGATTGTGAACACTAAGAACCTGCCGTCGGTGAGGATGCCTCGAACCTCGAGTTCTAGCAGAAGCATTTTTACAATTTCTAATCCTATCGCTAGGCGCATGAAATTGGAGGAAAAAACCGGGCCAGCTTTTGTGTGATTATTCGGAGTAGCGTTTTTTTCCCCATCAACGGAAGGAGTAATTATTGTAGACAATACCCATTGATCCATACAATTCGTTCTGCCCTACGCCCCATGGAAATCACGGAAGAAACTTCATCCACATCCTTATTTTAGGACACGGTTAGGATTCATGATGTCAATATTGATTAAGCAACAGTTTATTTTCCCGCTGGAATGAAGTGCAATTTTACATTAACTAGGTCAGAAATGCTTCTTGTTTGATTTAAGTGAGCCTTTGAGAGTATACAATATGATTTAATCTACAAAAGTTTTTCTAATCAATAACGCAAATTGGATAGGATATAACTAAAAAAGTAAAGTCTGTCAAATTATCAGACCGCAAAGCCCATCTGAATTAATTGCATTTTTTTCCTTTTGCTGGTGAAACTTGATTGCTTTAAAGTTCATTAGTTAATTGCACTTTTATAACCATTATCTGCAGTAACTACGGAGCTTTGTTAGTATCATATTAACTTTTTTTTATTTTCATTTAAGTTTTATTTTATGGAATTTTCACCGCGGTGGAAAATAATTTACACCGCGGTGGAAAATAATTTTCACCGCGGTGGAAAATAATTTTCACCGCGGTGGTAATTCCTGGCCATCTCGGCCCGGGTGATGCATACATGTAGTATATGCGAATCCAAAATTTACCAGATGTCTGGGAAGGAAGTTGATTAAGACAAGCACATGCACATGCACGCGGTTTAACCAGTCTATGTGCCAATCATCCCAGGAATGTGGAGGAAGCGGGCAGTATTCGAATAGATTAAAAACCACCGAAATGCTGCAATGTTGTACGCCGTTTTTCCCTTTATAATAACTTGTGTATTATTGGGGATATTGGTAGAAAGAAACCTCTCCGAAGAAACCGAGATTACATCTATTAAGATAAGATCTATGGGCAAACACATCACACGAATATTGAAAAATACATTGTCCAAAAATAACATTAAGTATTTAGTAATTACAATGGGATTCCCTTTGCATAAAACTGCAAGCGGGACTTTAATTATATAGGTGGTAAATATAGATGGGAAACCTAAGTTAACAGCAGTGGCCCCACGAACAGATCCTCCAACCTTGTGTGTATGTAACAATAGTATGCACCGTGACGGCATCTGGCAAATGTAAGGTTCTCATTAACTATTCATCACCCGGGCCGAGATGGCCAGGAATTACCACCGCGGTGAAAATTATTTTCCACCGCGGTGTAAATTATTTTCCACCGCGGTGAAAATTCCATAAAATAAAACTTAAATGAAAATAGAAAAAAGTTAATATGATACTAACAAAGCTACTAACAAAGGTACTAACAAAGTAACAGCATTTTAAAGATTGTAGGGTTTTTGCCAAGTGAAGGATATCTAATATTTATATATAACATGAAAAGAACATATGCTAATAACTTACACCAAATATCTAACTTTATTAGATCTCAGAACCAGGCAACATTATTACAAAGGTGGAGGCATGTATGACTGGTTTTGCTGCTGCTATATGTTAAAAAATGCTGGTTTCTGGAAAGGCCATCAGATACTGACTTGTTCACATTGGTCAAACATGTTATGCCATAATCACTGACACGAAACACTCCAACAAATGACTTAATGCACTCTATGAAGCAACAACAGATGATCCAATTATCCTCCATTTTCAACATACTGTTGCAAATGCAGTCAAGATAACTATGTTTCACAAAATTACATCATCTTAGATTAATGAGCATCTGTCTCTTTCATGCATATATAAACTTCACAAATTAAGTAATGGAATGGAAGGCTCTGGTTATATCTGGGTCAGTTCAATGTATGTTATGTACGAAGACAGGAAAAGGCCCTACTTAATCACCAGAGAAAACACCATATTTTTTCCATTTTCATATAATCAGTGACTTTTCCACATTTGTGAAATGATAATGAATCAAACACATTCAGATCCTACATGAATGAAAATACCATTTCCTATTTTATCATTCAACATCCTCTTTGTCCTCCATCTGCACAGGTTCTGTTAATGTAAAATAATAATAATTACACTCCATAGACAATAACAGAGCTTGTGAATGTATCCGTAATGTTTTAAGTAACATTCGATGAGTTGTAAAATGTGGACATCAAGTGCCATCCTCAGTGTTGCTGGAAGTGGACTGATTAGTATCATTACTTTTGAATGGTTTCTTGGTTGAAGTACTGGCTGTTGTGTTATCTGAAACCTGTACTATAGACTGCAGTCGAGAGAGGTGGACCATGGCTCTGGAATGGAAAGATGATAAACTTTATTAAATATAAAGCATTGAAAGTGATCTTATATCCATGTACGTGAGGTCTGATAAAACTCAATATTGGCCTCTGACATATTCACCAAACATATAATGTAAGATGCAATTTGTGGTCTTTGACCAAAGAGTGTGAAGGAAACATTATCAATCAGACAATTGACCAATGACATTCAGCTTTTAAATTATATAATAAAATAATTATTGACATTCGCTTACAGCCTAAGTCAATTATTGTATTGAATAAAACTTTAACAATGCTAAAAACCTCCTTTATTTTTTGTAAAAGATCTTTAGTGTACAAAATCAAAAGAGAGAGATAGAAACCAGAAATGAAATTTTAACAATATCTTAATACATGTAAATGAGACATATAAATAACCAAAACTGATCAACTTAAGAGAATATCATGGTTTTATGCCATAAGAAAATGGTATCATTACTAACTTCTACCTANATGAAAATAGAAAAAAGTTAATATGATACTAACAAAGCTACTAACAAAGGTACTAACAAAGTAACAGCATTTTAAAGATTGTAGGGTTTTTGCCAAGTGAAGGATATCTAATATTTATATATAACATGAAAAGAACATATGCTAATAACTTACACCAAATATCTAACTTTATTAGATCTCAGAACCAGGCAACATTATTACAAAGGTGGAGGCATGTATGACTGGTTTTGCTGCTGCTATATGTTAAAAAATGCTGGTTTCTGGAAAGGCCATCAGATACTGACTTGTTCACATTGGTCAAACATGTTATGCCATAATCACTGACACGAAACACTCCAACAAATGACTTAATGCACTCTATGAAGCAACAACAGATGATCCAATTATCCTCCATTTTCAACATACTGTTGCAAATGCAGTCAAGATAACTATGTTTCACAAAATTACATCATCTTAGATTAATGAGCATCTGTCTCTTTCATGCATATATAAACTTCACAAATTAAGTAATGGAATGGAAGGCTCTGGTTATATCTGGGTCAGTTCAATGTATGTTATGTACGAAGACAGGAAAAGGCCCTACTTAATCACCAGAGAAAACACCATATTTTTTCCATTTTCATATAATCAGTGACTTTTCCACATTTGTGAAATGATAATGAATCAAACACATTCAGATCCTACATGAATGAAAATACCATTTCCTATTTTATCATTCAACATCCTCTTTGTCCTCCATCTGCACAGGTTCTGTTAATGTAAAATAATAATAATTACACTCCATAGACAATAACAGAGCTTGTGAATGTATCCGTAATGTTTTAAGTAACATTCGATGAGTTGTAAAATGTGGACATCAAGTGCCATCCTCAGTGTTGCTGGAAGTGGACTGATTAGTATCATTACTTTTGAATGGTTTCTTGGTTGAAGTACTGGCTGTTGTGTTATCTGAAACCTGTACTATAGACTGCAGTCGAGAGAGGTGGACCATGGCTCTGGAATGGAAAGATGATAAACTTTATTAAATATAAAGCATTGAAAGTGATCTTATATCCATGTACGTGAGGTCTGATAAAACTCAATATTGGCCTCTGACATATTCACCAAACATATAATGTAAGATGCAATTTGTGGTCTTTGACCAAAGAGTGTGAAGGAAACATTATCAATCAGACAATTGACCAATGACATTCAGCTTTTAAATTATATAATAAAATAATTATTGACATTCGCTTACAGCCTAAGTCAATTATTGTATTGAATAAAACTTTAACAATGCTAAAAACCTCCTTTATTTTTTGTAAAAGATCTTTAGTGTACAAAATCAAAAGAGAGAGATAGAAACCAGAAATGAAATTTTAACAATATCTTAATACATGTAAATGAGACATATAAATAACCAAAACTGATCAACTTAAGAGAATATCATGGTTTTATGCCATAAGAAAATGGTATCATTACTAACTTCTACCTATGTCAGAACAATAAAAAAAAGTATTAAAGAAAAAATTGGTTGTATATACTTCATACAAAAACAGCAACAACCAAGGTCAACAGGGTAGGTAGAACTGGTGAAATCAGAGCACACTTGATTTATGTAAACGTTCAGAATAATGAAATAATGGACACATCAAAGAGAATACGATATCAATGATGTGATGATATCATTTTCACTGGCTATGATTGATTATTATAAAATCTGTCTACTACGCAGATATAGCCTATCCTTTTCAAAGCATAAGAATTTTTTATCAATGGCCAAAGATATCAATTAAAAAATAATAATAAATAAGAATAACAAGTTTGGGTAATTTAACAATTTTAGATATTTAGCTGTCAAAAATAAAAAAGTTTGAAACCAAAACCGACTTTCACTTTGCATTTACCATTTCAATGGCAAAGTACAAATTTATTTGAGAAAACAAATTCAGACATTCCTAGAAAGAGTAGTGTAAAAAAAGAAATTGAAAGGTTTTTACTCATTTGTGATATCTTGTCATTATCACAAATATATCCCTTGAGAATGAATAATGATATTCATCATTTGAATGAGAAAAATAAATAAACAAACCCTGCCCCTTCCTCAGCTCCTAACAATGATTTAGATTGCAATTTAACCACCATGGGCAAGGCATCACTTAGTCATGCTGTTGTGAGTAATTCCATTCCCATCAATTCCAGAACAAGTTACAATTCATCAATAAATTCAATTTGTGATGTCCATCAATTAACAGTTAAAGTCAAGAAGGCAGGAAACTACTTACGTGTAGCAATAATCTAAGATGATTCTATCACTCTGTGTGTTAAAAACAAAAGGGCATCTTCATTTTATCACCTGATAATGCATTTAATTAGCAAATTCTCAATACAAAAAGCAATTAACAAACCTAGGGGGAGCAGTTACGTGGGAGAAATAATTACTTCCATTACTGGTTACAGTGTATGAAATAAGCTAATTTGCTCTTGTCATAATCTGTTGAGAGGAGCATGTTCTGAGAGAAGATGTGGAGAAAAAATTCTGAAACTAAACACTTGTCTCTTTCATCTAATTGATCATTTAATTAATCACTTTCATTTACCATTTTGTCATTTATGCAAATATATTATTCGTTTTTGAGAAAGCGAGAGAGACATGCATTTAAGTGACGATGATGATATGAGAGAGAGAGAGAGAGAGAGAGAGAGAGAGAGAGAGAGAGAGAGAGAGAGAGAGAGATTTTATAATTTTTTACATTATACGTACATGGTTGTACATGGTTAAAGTTATAAAAACTGAAAATCCTGAAAACGTAGCTTGCAATTTTTCATTGCATTTAGGCCACATTAAAAGTGATCAAAATTAAGACTGAAAATCCTGATATCTGGCATAATCCTAAAAACTTTCACCCATATATATATATATATATATATATATATATATATATATATATATATATATATATATATATATATATATATATATATATGGTATTTTGTGTACCTTTCTAGTGATTTAGTTCCAGGTTCCCCTGTGACCTCCATATTTAACTTTATACTAGTGATGTCCTGAATCTTCACTGGAGAACTCTGGGTTTTGCCAGTGCCAGCTGTCTTCTGCAATATTGTAGGACTAGTATCAGATGTGGTTGCGAGGTAATCACCTGTCTTACTGATCAAAAGTCATTCACATGGAATTGTTATTTATTCTTGATTATGGTAGAAAACTTTAATGGCAAGCAAGATGGGCTGGTAACTAGTAAATTGGCTGTGTCCTTTTCCTTTCAACCCCTGGTGAGATGTTAGCTGAATATTTCAACTTAACTATTACATTAGCACTAACAGCAACCAAAAAACCTTTTGGGGACTTACAAGACAACAAAGTCATCAAAACTCTTTAACAATAATTGTCACCAAATCACAAATATTAAAAATTACCATTAAAGATGATGAATTCTCTTTATCACAGTGTTCTTCTACTTCTTCCTCAACATCCTCTGGGGTTGTAGCCATGCTCTGCATTTTAAAAAGTATAGTCTTCAGAGCTTCCATGGACCCTGGTGTGTTCTGGCCAGTGAGACGCGGGGAGGTAGACGTCTGAAACACAAGGCTGATAAACTGATGACACATTTATGGAAGGACAGAATCTTTAAGACGTGACATTAGAGGAATATCTTTGATGGAAATTGAAGAATGTTGCATAAGCTAAAGCACATAAAAAGCAGGTTTGAAATTAAAAGTAAATTTCAAAAGTCATTTCAAATGGAGTAAAAATAAAACAAAAAGATGAAGAATTTGCTAGATAGCTAGATATGTTTTTCAGTTTATGTTATCAGACACCAATCAAAATGTCTACTCTATTCTATTCACATTAGCAGTAAATTGAGTAATTCGCCTGTATAATCTGTAATAAATTTCCTTGCCAAATTAAGAAAAGATTTATTTAGTGCACAGAAGACTGGTCATTAAGGCTAATACTTCTTTACCTCTGTTGATACAACATGAACCAAGAACAATGGTTCAAAGCACTTCTCAGTTCTCAGTCTTATTTTTATGTGCTGATTAAACTTGACAAAATTTGATGAAAAACATACAACAACTTACACAATACAGCCATTAATTTCATTGAAGGTATTTTTAACAATGATTATCAAATACAAAAGAGGTAAGTGTTACAGGAGATTTTGCCCTCTGCTCAGATATTTTATGTATCTAAAATGTTTGATCCTATTGCCAAATTAATGGGCAGGTAACCTTCATTATTTCCCTGCAACACGAAACTGTTCAGATATAAATAATAAACTTGTTATTCACTGTAATGCTTGCATGACTACAAAAGCAAGAAATATCTAAACATAACTTAAAGTTAGGAAAGAAAAGAACTTGAGTTATAAAAAATGAAAAGGTTATGTACCTTGTGAAAAAGAACCAAAAAGGAAAAAAAATAGGTCATCAAGTAATGTCATTGGAAGTAAGACAATCTTCAATAAATCCATCAATGATATTCCATCTCATTGCATTAACATCACCAGTCTTAGCAGTGTATCTCAGACAATCCTGGATAAAATCACGAATAATGTTGCGTTTTGCGGATTGCACTCTGTGGTGCACCTATAAAGAGAAAAATCGGTACTCTAAAAACTGTGGTTGTGTAATGAAAGGGGTAAGTGATCTACAATTTCCTTACAACTTAAACCATTTCAGATCTGGTGTTAGATGTTTGCTATTTTATATCAAAGTCAACAGCATCAGAGATAAAGCAAGACAGAAGTTATTGTCCAGTGATGGACATTATGTTTATCTCTACAAAAAATAAATAAATAAATAAATAAATAAATAAATAAATAAATAAATAAAAATAAAAAAGGGGTAATTCAAAATCAAGAAATAATGTTTTACTATTTTTCTAAATTGAAATCTTGTATATTAAAAGTCAAACTGAAGCTGTTTTTACACATGGGCAAAGTGTGATCAAATTAACTTCAGCATTAGTGGTGGTCAGATGTGATATTGTAATTATATAAGCACATTCCCCATACTTATTTCAGCAAGATAAAAAAAGTAACTCTAATGACCAATACAACTAACTGTAAAATAACAAACCACTGTTTTTGTAAATAAATAACTCTTTTTACCAACCTGTTCATCATTCAAGCAATCTTGTAGAAATTTATCCATAATTCTTCCTCTCTTAACTGATGTTTGCCCTTCAGAACCTGTTCTTTCTTCAACATATTTTGGAGCTTTGCTGTAAAAGAATAAGGGAATACTAAGTACTGTATTAATTATTTCAGCTAATTTATCACTTTGTTCAAATAAAAGTTTTCTCTCATAAGTCCCTAGGAATTTTTTATCAAAGCATGATCACAGTTAAAAATAAAGGGAATAATGCTCTCTGTCCCAATAAACCTGTCAAAATATAAAGCAAAATACTGTATTTCCATAAATATAACAGCCCTAATAACTTACAGTACAATAATTTACTTCCATACACTATCTACTCACAATGGCACAGGTAGTCTTTCCCAGGACCTGTCCCCCTCCAGTACCACATCAGTCTGAGGACTATCTACATAGCAACCCTGCTTAACCTCACCTGGACCCCCAGGACTGTTCTCTACAAAAATTCCATTATAGACATAAAAATGCAATACATATAATTCTTTCATACTCACATATTGTTTTTAAATTTTTTCAGTTAAGGCCTTCACCAGATGTGCAATGTGCCCATTTATTATAATTATTCCTTCAAAACAATAGCTTGGATGTATTTTTCCATTGCCAGTGATCTTATATGGTGACATGATAGACATGGGATAACTGGAGTGCAAATAACTCTGACTTTAGCTGTGGTTTTGATGAAGCCATTTTAGTAACAAATTAACATTTTTACATTTTATTGGCTGCTGGCTACATACTTTGCTTTAAACTTTTTAAAACAACATTTTAAAAACAGTTCAATGCTAAAACTGTAAAAACAATCCAACGCAACAGACTGTACACTGACATGTCTTATAGTAGCATATCCTGTTTTCCCATGATTGATTCAACAGTTAATTGCTAATGAACACGGAGGTAGCATGATTTCCTGTTAAGTTAAATAACAGGATATTTTCAATCAAATAGATAAAAGGTTATCAGAAAATTGTTTTATCCTTATTAGTCCTAAAAGGTGGAAAAACCACAGTTATTCTGTTTCTCTATTAAATGTATAGGGCATGATTTCATGTTTAATAATGTAGAGAGTACCAAGTCATGCTCTATGTAAAGAAATTCACTTAAGTTACACAATAATGGTTACACAATAATGTGGAAAGTAATCATTTAAAAGCATTCTGCCATATAATCTATAATGCAGCTTTCTACATAAACTTTATCTTTCTGGAAGCTTTTTTTGCCACATTAATGCAAGTAATTTCAAACAATATGCACCACAATGGAATTTTCATAGGAATTAAAACTGTTGTCTGAGTTTTTGGCATATGGTAAAAGTTGCTCTGAAGAGAGATTTTTGCACATAATTAAATCGGCCACCAGGCTATAGTCCGAGATGACAGTCAGTAGGGAATGCCACAGCTCTCTATTATAAAAACAATATCTATCAATAACTCCTTATCCAAATTCGCAGCAAAACTATCACATTTATCAACTTTGCTCTCCCATTTTTAATTAAAATCTATTTGACTGATGACACTCCAAAATATGCCATAACAACAGTCTTGGTGCATCATTTCAACTATTAACATCACATTTCTAGCTGACTTTTTTTTGATGACATGTATCAAACACAATCCCATTTTGAAAATTAATCGCTTTGTACTTGCCTTTTCTACCTGAGGAACTTGATGATTGTGATCTGCTGGCACCTTGCTTCTCTAACACATCTAACGGTGCTGTGGCCTTTGAAACCCTGTACACGCCAGTGCTGCTGTCACTGCCATCTGAAGACGCTGAGTTGGGATACCTTCTTTTATAGGTCTGCTGCTGTGGCATTGGATGCCCTGATGACCACTGTCTCCCGAATGTATAAGCATTTCCTCCTTGTGTTGTTGTGGAAGAGAAACTGTGGGTAGTTGGCAAGGTCACAGAGCTTGGCACACCAGCTGAGGTGCTGCTGCTACCTTGGGTGTACTTAGACCAGTCTGTAAGATATTTCTCAGATGGGAAGTCATAGTCTTTGTTGAGTTCTCTCTGTGTGTACTTCTTTTTATACCCCGTTGTTGGTTGCTCTCCTGCACCTTTGCCCTTGTGCTGATTTGCTTGTAAAGATCTACCTGGGTATTCTAGTTCACCTATCCAGCTTGGTGGTGGTTTACCTTTCAATGAAACTTCAGCAGTGTGGTTACCTTGTCCTATGCTAGTATACCTACTGACTTGCGTAGACTCAGTTGCCATACCCTCCCTACCTCGTAACTGTATTGTTCCATAGGAAGACATTAATCCGTCCTCTTCTTTACTAGGTACTGCAGTGTCCTCACTGGTGTCATCTGTTAGCCACCTTGAAGAAGACTTGACTTCTTTATCTTGCAAAGTTTGAGCACTTTGCTGAGGTGACAAGTCATAGAGGATGGTGGGCACCTCAGTTATCCAGCTAGGCGGAGGATGCCAAGCATTTGGATGCTGCATCTGTTCAGTCTCTGGTACATCAGTGATCCAACTGGGTGCTGGTCTCCCCCCTTGTGCTGGTGCAGGTGCCCTGGTGGGTTCTGACACGTCAGTGATCCAACTGGGAGCTGATCTTCCCCCCTTTGTTGGGACAGGGGCGGGGGGATCTGAGACATCAGTGATCCAACTGGGAGGAGGTTTGAAAGCCTCGGGAGGCTTGTAATCTGTTGAGGTAGGTTTTGATGAGGACCTTGTTGCTGTAATGAAATATACAGGTATTCATATCTAAATAAAAAACCGTTAATCATAAGTAGTCTTCATAATTAATATAAAATTTCATCTGGTAAGATGTTCTTTTTGAATTCAGTCTTCAAAAAGCCTTTGCACACAAAAATCAATATCTTTGATAACCTTATGTTACATTAATGAAGTACATGTATCTTCAAAGTTTTTCATTAAGAATCTTAGACTGGGTTCCCACAAATTTAGATCGATCCATCGAGGGTTCACGCTAAATTGCTGTCAGCCAAGCGTGCATAAAAGTTAATTACCCCCTTTTTTTAATAGGTGGGACAGACATTTAAGCCAGCTACACTGACAGCAATTAAGTGAGACTTCCCACCGGGATAGATAGATCTAAAAATCTGTGGGAATGCAGTCGTATGCATTCAAATATGTAATACCCTATACTGAAGGAGTAACTAGCTATCTTCTTTAAAATCAAACCAATGTATCATCTATACATTATGCAAGGTACATGTGCTCAACAAACCTAGAGTATGCCTGTCTTTGTCTGGAACATCAGGGTTCAAACTTGACGGCAACCTGTCCTCTGGAAGTGAACCTCCTTCCTCAAGGTCAGAAAAGGAAAAGGAGTCCTTGGCAGTTTCCCTTACACGATTCTTATCCATATCTTTTATTTTCCCAATGTTATTACCGTTGGATGCCAGATAACTCTGNCGAGAAATGGATTTTTACATGAACATTGTCCTTTAATGAAGTACATGTATCTTCAAAGTTTTTCATTAAGAATCTTAGACTGGGTTCCCACAAATTTAGATCGATCCATCGAGGGTTCACGCTAAATTGCTGTCAGCCAAGCGTGCATAAAAGTTAATTACCCCCTTAGAGTTTTTAATAGGTGGGACAGACATTTAAGCCAGCTACACTGACAGCAATTAAGTGAGACTTCCCACCGGGATAGATAGATCTAAAAATCTGTGGGAATGCAGTCGTATGCATTCAAATATGTAATATCCTATACTGAAGGAGTAACTAGCTATCTTCTTTAAAATCAAACCAATGTATCATCTATACATTATGCAAGGTACATGTGCTCAACAAACCTAGAGTATGCCTGTCTTTGTCTGGAACATCAGGGTTCAAACTTGACGGCAACCTGTCCTCTGGAAGTGAACCTCCTTCCTCAAGGTCAGAAAAGGAAAAGGAGTCCTTGGCAGTTTCCCTTACACGATTCTTATCCATATCTTTTATTTTCCCAATGTTATTACCGTTGGATGCCAGATAACTCTGAGTATCCGTAACATTTGTTATCCAGCTGGGTGGGGGCCTCCCTCCTGCGAGTGGAGATCTTTCTTCACTATCGTCATCAGCTTGTCTTGCAGTCACTGAGGGGCCCTCACTGATAAATGGATGTTCAGGAACCTCTGTTATCCAGCTTGGTGGGGGCCTTCCCCCTTCAGAAAAGTTAGGAGATCTGAACCCCAGAGGTCCTACTCCAGGTGGAGAACCTGGGAGTTCATATTCAGCAGGCAACTTTGAGGGTCTCTTCCCTGAGGTTGGGTAAATCTCATCTTCTTTTGATTTTCTCAATAACCTTAACTTCCTTCTGTACCCTGTCACTGTGATCTCAGTATGGTCTGGAACATCTGTTATCCAGCTAGGAGGAGGTCTCCCACCAGGAGGAGGGAAACTTCTACCCACTTTGAAATCTGCATTCACAGGAAACTCTGGAACATCAGTTATCCAGCTTGGTGGGGGCCTTCCACCTTTTGTCTTAGGATGATCCGACTTGGGACGAAGAGAGGCACGTGCCTGCTGTGTGGGCTCTTGGTATGCAGACTCATGAACATGTCCTCTATGGGTTTCATGGCGAGCAGATTTTTTGTGTTGATAATATTGTTCTTTAAAATTATTTAAAGGTATAGTCTGGCTTCTGTCATGGCTGTCGTAAGGGAGGGGATGTTTACCTTTGGTATCAATGCTCTCTGGGGATGGATCTGGACTAGTTGTATGATATTTATGACTGACCACAGGTTTTCTGTTACGTACACCATCCCGACTGCCTGACCTTTCACCTTCAAAATTCTGTCTGGAATGACCTTGCCTTGACTCCTTATTGTCTGTTCTTTGAATTGTATGGCCAATACTACCTTGATCAATTCTGTTGTGACCCAGGTCTTGCAAAGTCAGCACTCTCGGGTCATCATTTTTTTGATAGTTTGTCCTATATGAATACACGTGTTTCTTGTGAGTCTTGTGTCTTATGTGTCTGCTGGAGGTCAGAGGTGGGATGGAGACCAGCATGTCAGTGGAGAGGCTGTCTAAATCACTTGGAATGTTACTCATGTCCACTTCACTGGATGTTGAGTCGCTGCTGTGCCTGTCTGCAGAGACTTCATGGATAACCTTAGCAGACTGGGTCAAAGCTTCTTTTACTGAAATGTGTCGATGTAAGGATTTGAATACTTTCATCTAGGACACAAGTTTTGAGAGAGAGAGAGAGAGAGAGTCACAAAACATTTCAAAACACACCTGAATTTCCATTTTCATGATTACTTTCAGCCAGCGGGTTAAATAATCTACCATAACCAAAAATACAAACTATTTATGAATTTTTCTTGATTTGATTAATTTTATTAAAACTTAATATCTGGGTTAGATGAAAATCATGCATATCATTATGAAAAAATGCCACCAGTTTGAGTAACTCAATTCATATAATCTACGAGTGACAATTTAAGTTTGACAGTTAAATATTCATTACCCTGTCTAATTTTCTCTTCCTCTTTCACAATCTTCTCAAAGGACTCGTCCACCATTCTCTTCATGTCATACAGCCTCTTCTCATCTCTAGTATGCCTTATGCCAGTTTCCAGGGACCTGTTGACTGTCTGGGATAACACTGTGGGTGGCAACAAAAGGTTATTCACCTGTCTTTCATATTTCACTTTTGGGGATTTGCCCTCAAAATCTTCAATGTAAGCTTGCAATGCATCTGAGGCTGAAGTGAAAATCTTTCCTTGGTAGTCCACAGTGGGAGTTCTTAGATCTCCCATATTCAAGCTTTTTGCACCTGAGCCGGTGTAGAAAGGATGTCCCTCAAGACGTAACGGAAGAGACATGATCTTAGCTTGGATTTTTATATAACTACTGCATCAAAAGTGGCTTAATCCCAACATGCTACAGCAGCGTAGTCTGAATGTTCTCTTTTCCATTTCAATCCATTTCTTATTCTGCTTTATATCCTCCTTGGCCTTAACTGAAATGTGAACAATTTATATATATTCCAGTCTTAAAGTAAATTCAGCTTTTAAACATAGCAGATGAAATGCACTTACAATTTAATTGCTTCGTGACTCAAACTTTCACTAATGTAAATGTCCTCCTTGTTGCCAGTTACATTTACGAAATCCCAATTTAACTGTCACAAACGGTCAACCTTTTGCAATTTATCAATCTTCATAAACTAAATAAAGGTACCTCATCAACAGTTCAAACACAAGGCCATTGACAAAATTTGGTGTCATGTTGCTTCCTTTTACTCTAAAAAAAGTACTGAACAAACAGCAATACAAACTAACCTTTAGTTCGCTATTCCCTTCAGAAGGAAATATTTTGAAATCACTGCCTGCCCTATGAATACAAATGAAAAGGCTAGGTTATTTCAGATGTCGCTTTACTTTTTCAATTTGAATTTCCCACAATGCATATTTTTGCAATGAAACAGATCCAGCAAAATAAAGGCTTGCTCACTGAAGCAACATAAATAAACTCAGCCCTCTATTGCATATTTGACTTACAAGGCTTTAACATTACCAAATTTGAAAGGCTCACCTGGGTGAGACGTGTTGAATATTATTGATCAAATCATTGTCAAACTCTATATGAATGTAGCTCTATTAGAGGTGCAGACATGAAAAAGAACAGTTTAGCTAAATACACAGTTCATGTTTTGTTATCAAACATCATTTCTAAAGAGGGCATCTGTAAGTACACATGACTATTAAGAGCTGACAGCCTATAAAGCACTCGATAACATATATTCAAGCAGGATAAAATACCATACATTATTTGAACATCATTTTCAAATAATATAGTTATCTTTTATTTCTAATGCAACTTCATGCTTATCTTAATGTCTATTAGTCCAAACATTTCATACTGAGTCTGACAATTGTGCTTCCATTTTTTTCAAATGTTAACATTCAGTTTCTCATATTGTAACTTTAAAAAAAAATTAACACCACAATCACATTAAAGATCTGATCAAATTTGCATTTTTATAGAATGATAAAAAACAAATGTGCTATGTTACAATACTTTTATCAAAAACAAATTAAATCATTCATTAAAGAAAGTTAGTGGAATTCAAATAAACAATTCAAATAAATGTTGTATTGTTAACAATTACTATTACTCAGTATAGAAAAAGAACATTTAAACCAAAACCTTTCCTCAGAGAGCACTCTTCTCAACTCCACTCACAGTTGTAGCCAAAATTCAAACTGCTTCACAAGCGCACATAAGACATTATAAATTAGGTAAGAATAAAGGTGGCACCACCTTAGTGTACATTGTGGTTGGACCATTGTTTGTCGTGTTAAATCCTGGTGCTGATACTGAAGTTATGGAAGATACTTCTCTTGGTGTAAGCACACACATTTATCTCAGCGGTCTCTTTCGTAACACAACAAACAGGATTTAACTACCACTCAGTCAATCCAAATGAGCATAGTAACTAGCCCCTTATAATATAGATATTGACGCAAACACCACTGTTCTTATCTTTTCTGATAAAACTTGATGAGAATTTAAGCCGTATGCAAATACCCACATTTCTGGACAATTTCTTGTGTTCACAGAGCTTGATTACTATCTAAAGTTATTATAAATCATTAAATCTTGTGACTTTTTTGTATTAGTTTCATTAATCCAGCCAATAAGACCACTCCAAATATTTTAGGTTCTGAATAAGTGAATCATATGTTACATGTGAAACCAGTGGATGATATGAAAAAGAAACTTCGGGACTCTATTCTAACAGTGCCCCTCCCCCCCTCTCCAAAGCAAATGGATTAAACTGCACTGCTTCCCTTGTTCAGTTCAGAAACATTTGCTCCATTAATATATAAGGTGAAAAAGTAAGATAAACAAAAGGTTGTCATCGTTCACGATTTGTTTAATAACTAAAAAATTCTTATACAATGGGCAAAAGTAGTTATTAGTAAAGTTCTGAACTGCAAGCAAAGTTTTGTTCACAATGATGTGACAAGTTGGCAGCAAGTTCTGGTAGAGTTTGGCCAATCAGGAGGCTTCTTACAACACAATGAAATGAATCAACACAGAGCCCTATTTTAGTACATCTTTTTAAAAGCTTTCCTGTCTTACAGTATGAAAAATAATCATACTGCCTACCATCTTTTCTAAAACAAATATTGGTTATTTGAAAAAATAAATATTTGGTTGGTAGACATTTATGCCATAATTCAAAGTGTCTTTAAATACAATGTTGCTCTACAACTAGCTAGACAGATGGTATTGTGCACTCTTTTTTAAGCCAAGATTCCATCAAGCATTTAGTTAAGATATCAGTATATTTTTGTTACAAAATGAATACAAAAGACAATGTTTCATAACTTTAAATCACTTTGGTGTAATTTCAAGCAACCAGCCTCACCCAAAAAAGTATTTTGCCAATTTTGACTTCTTTCTCACAGTTTCTAAACTCACTTCCAGTGCATTAATTTTTTTTTTGACAATTTAAAAAATACTTTTACAGATGGAATACAATGATTCATGATCTGTTATCCACACATATTGAATAGAGAGCACTACAACCCCTAAAATTCTACAATATTTAGTGGTTATATACTGTATCTTTAACATGGAGTAAATTGAATAAAATGAGCACTAAAAGGTTAAATAAATTAAACTGCCTGCCTCCTTAGCAGCTATATATATATATATATATATATATATATATATATATATATATATATATATATATATATATATATATATATATATATATATATATATATAGTACATACATTAGTGCCTGACTCAGTTTACAACAATATCAAGATCCAAACTAGTCACCAAATCTATGACCTCAATGAGAAGATTATTCAGGATCAATGCAGATCAAACTTGTTACAATCATAATTTTAATTGTTTCACATAATTACTTATTTCAAAGGAAATTTATACACTTTACAAATAATCTGACTGCTGACTGCTTTAGTAGGTCTCCCTTACTACCACAAGCGATAATGAGCATTACCACAACACTGTGGATACCTGTGTGTTTCCCTGCATACTGTCAGGTTACCTCATATCAATACCATAAACCTCGATGTATTCCTTAACCTGTGGTAAATTACTGCACATAATGTTTTTCTTTATGTTAGATCATCTTAAATATAACATGCTATTGTTTTTGATTCCTAAATTGAAGGACATAAATAGTTTATGCCTCTTTAATAGCACCGATTCAACCTTGTCCACTGTTAGTGATTATCTTTGAAAAAGGTACAAAATTACTATCAGTCTGCCCCACCAACTGGATCACTTTACCAAAATGACAATCACATATATCTAACCATAGGCTTATGAAACCTAGGAGTATGGGCACTGATAGGGGTAATCATAGACAGGGGTAGAAACAACCATTGTTCAGGTTGTGGCTGCTGGAATTGTTCCCCATAAAGTTGCACAAAAAACCTGGGTACCTGCCTATAGACACATGGAACTATTGTCTAAAATAAGTTTGAACAAGTGTCTAAAATCAGATTGAACACAACTGAACATTGACCTAAAATAATATCATAGTTGTTCGTTTATAAGTAAGCTACTACAGATAATGCCAAGGAGATCATCATGAAGACCACGCTCCGCATCTTCAACTCCAATGTGGCATAGGTTCTGCTCTAAGGCTGTAAAATGTGACTCACAACTAAGACAATGCTGCAGAAGATTCAGATATTCTTCAACACCTGTCTGAGGCACATTTGCAAGATATGTTGACCAGACAAGATCTGGAACAAAGATTTGAGAAAGAGAGCGGGACAGGAACTTCTGGCCAAACAGATTCTGAGAAGGAAGTAGAGCTGGATCAGACACACCCTCAGGGAACCAGCATCCAGCCTCACATGACAGGGCATGACCAAGAACCCCCAGGGCAAGAGACAGCAAGGCCATCCTCAAAACAGCAGGAGGTGAGACACTGAGGCAGAACTAAAGTAACTAAAAGTGACGACCTAGCAAGGTGTGTTAGCTGTGACCGGCCAGTGTAACTAACAATAAGTGATAACGTCAAGTGTAAACTGAATTTCTCCTTATGATTATGAGAACTCTTATCTTACCTCTTTCACTTATCCTATCAAACCTCAAACAATTAAAATGTTCTTACACATAAAAATTAAAATCGATTGGCAATTCTACGAGTGCAACCCATAAAACCGATTACAGTTCACGAAGCATATTTACCTCTTCAAACATGGCGCTTCTTGTAAATATGACTAGTTCCTTTTTAAAACTAGTCGTTTGGGTGGAATAATATAGAATTTGCACATAGTATTCAATAAATACATACAAATAAAACCATTATAAAGAAAAATTTTGTCATTTATTACATTTTATGGCCAATTTACATTTATAAGCAATACTGATATCAGAATATTTCGTTCTATAGAACCAATCAACAAAGTCACTACCGCTTCATAACGCCACCTATCCCTGTGTTAACCATGGTTTTTTTCAGGAAAGGGAAAATGTCTAAATAGTTAGAATTGTTTTACTAAAGAATTTCAGAGATGGAAGGGAATAATTTTGTGATCAGGATCAGGACAGGTGAAGGAGAAGACATGGAATGGATGGTGAACCCTTATACAGTCACCTTTCACGAGGCGCTGGTAAGTTAACACACAAATCGGCCCTGCCATGTACAATGTATACAGTACCAGTACGTGGTAACGTTGTGTCCATACGCCCTAGTAGTAGGATTAATTCTTTTGCCAGTGTTAGATAGTCAGTAAGTTAGACATGATTATTTGCCTTTGGTGATGAATGCAAAAGGGTGGCTATTGCATTTTTAAACATTTGCTGTAATGTATGCTCTTTCATTCCTGCTGTAGAAATCAAGATGATAAATTTTCTTAGTTTTGTATTGTTTTCTTTTCCAACATCAGTCAAGTTTTTTGAATATTTGCACTGCAAAAGTTAGACTCGGAAAAGAAGCTGTGTAAGCTAAGAATGGTCAATGTACTAGACAATAAAATTTTTAAGAACTGTGCGAACACTGTTCCTTGCATACACTCATCCAGGTACTGCTGAAAAACCAAGTGGCTGATTAATTTGAGTAGGTTAGTGACAAGTGTATTGGGGTTCAATGCTTAAGAACCACACTTAGATCACTTCATCTCTCCTTGTAAATTGAATATCCTCAAATGACATACTTGTTGACTTAAGTCATTTAAGTACAGACATATTATGTGAAAGTGACCTAGTGCACGTTATGCTTCAGGAAGTGATGACCAGAGTTGTACCTCATGCCTCAATATCAGCATTTGACTGTAAGTAAACCTGTTGCATTATTGGCTCTTAAAAATAGCGTTTGTCTTAAAGATACAAATTCTTTGATTCAATCCAGTATACATATTTACTCGACAGAATCATTGAAAACAAATAAAAATGATATCTTGTCTGCAGTGCAACTTAAAACATATAGTGTATATTTAGTATTGTAGAAGATCTACACTGTATGTTTCACCATAAAATAAATACAGTACATTGATAAACAACTGAAAGAAATATAATACATTCTTTTTTTTACCACAAAAACAACAGTTATAGCAATTATTCTGAAATATGTACTTGTCATTGGACCATGTGACCTCCATAGATGGCTATACTCTGTAATAATATTTTAAGAGATTATTACCAGAAAAAAAACTTTTTAAGAAAAAAAAAACAGGGACTAACTTTGAATGTAGAAATGGATTCAGTTATTATGGTAAAATTGTCCCTGGAAAGTTCATATTTTGGGCAAATGAACAGTTGTTATCCTTTTAATCAAGTGTAAACTGAATTTCTCTTAATGATTGAGGAGAGGAATACTTATCTTTTGGTATTTTCAGATGAAGATGAAGATGGGGACAAGATAACTGTCAGAAGTGATGATGAAATGAAAACCATGATAGTCAATGTGAGTTTTGTTATTGGTTGTCTGTATGTGAATGGTTCAGATGACCTGTATTTGTAGTCTTATTCTGGTATTTTATTGTATAATTTGCATTGCAAATTTTTCTTAAGTTTTAGTAAATTATGAATTCATGTCAAAATGAAATAATTTATTTTTGATTTCTGTATTGTGTATGTTATAAATACTTCATGTCATGAAAATGTAGAATGTTTGTCATAGATTAAGTGTTTTTATTATTTCACTTTTTTTTTTCAATTTCAGTATTTGAATTCTACAAATGAAATAGCAGCAACAAGTGGAAATTTACAGCCCTTAGTCATTTTTCCAAGAGGTATTTTTTTAAATAATTCACTTATAATTTTATAACACTAACAGAGATGTGATGAATATTATATACATAATTGTTTTAAATTGTATTATGAAAGCATGTTTTTTTTCTTGTGATATTTCAAAATAGCTGCCGTAAATAAAAACCTTGCCATATACTGACATCGATAGTATATTTTCAGTTTATCTGATTAGTTTGTTTTATCACTCTGTTAGCCAGCAAGTCCTCTGATAAAAGAAACATACATGGGTTGAAGGTATGCATAATTGACAAAGTTGTGAATTGATATAATGATCGCTGCATTTTTTTTTTTCATTTTAGAGATTAATGATACCTGTAAAGTTTCTGATAAAAAATCTTATTCCAGTTTTTTTAAGGAATTAAAGATATTTTGAATTATTGAGAGAGCAAGATATTAATAGCAGATAAAAATTTTAATGTAAAAGAATCAGTTGTGATAAAAAAGCTCACATAAAAGAATATGTGCTTGACTGTTATGTAGATATATATCACAATAACTGTTTTATTTCATTTCAACATATGTAATAGATGTAACATGTAAGTTCTGTATATATTTAATATGCATTAGTATATATGTATTTGTAACTACAGGTAAAAACAAAGAGTCCAAATGCTGTACCAGCAGGAGACCCAGGCATTGTACATGGTAGTAGGTAAGATAAGACTGCATGTGTAATATTAACCATTGATCCCATGTCAAATAATAACGAAATTAAGGCCAGGCTAGTAATGTTTTGTAGAAAATGCCAACTATTGATCGCCATTGCTATGCCAGCAAAATTGATCAAATTGGTTTTGGCCACTGTTTCTGTTTTAGCCCTGTAGATCCTAAGACCTGGTTGTCTCAAAGATCCTAATAGCTCTTAGAATATAATGAGAAGACTGCCAATGGTCACCCTCTCGTCTTTGATTTAAAAAATTGCTTTTTTGTACTGTGTGCAATGGGTAGAAAAAGACAAGAAATGATTGTTTTACACTAACATATTATGACAGTGGCCCAAATGTATTGTCATTACTTACTGCTTTTTTATCATAAAAATGATATTGTAGATGGTGTAATATTATAAAATATATATTTGGATATCAAAACAATGAAATATCATCATAATCTCATCTCTTTTCTTTTATTTTAGGAAACAACAGGCCAGTGATCTACAAGAGATCTTGGCCTGTGGACATATATCTGATGCACACCTTCATTACATTGAGATACTGGGGAGTGGTAATGGTGGAACAGTATACAGGTAATTAGGACTGGATATTTTTTACATATAATGATAAATGTCACCTGCTCCAGGAGTTAGTGTGTGAGTTAAAGTTTTATTTTCTTGTTGGTGATATATCTTGAAATTGTAGACCGTGATATTTTTATTATCAATAATAATAATAATAATGCGTATTGGCACTGGCACAAAGTTTGAAGAAGCTATGCGCTAACTGCATACCTGATTTTGAAGTGGTATGAACACAGAACTGAGAGGCCATGTTGTTGTCTGCTCAGAATGTGATCATGTTGTTGTACATATAAATTCACAAGAGAAAACAGTTTAAGACCACTTGTCAAATACATGACAAATCTGTCCACAACTTCCAAAGAATTGTCTAATGGCTGAGACAGTTCATAGATAATGCTGACTGGGTGGCAATTATGCTGGCTAGTAGCCATCATAATTTTATTTTATTGATTAATAATACAGTGACCATTTCACTCATACTTCCAGTAAGTGATAAAATTAGTTTGTAACATTTCAGTTATAGACTTAGTGTGATTCTGTGGGTACTAGTATATTATAATCAAATGATCTTTTATCCTTCTTTTTATCCCTTTAGAGCCCAGCACAGACCAAGTGGTACTATTATGGCTGTCAAGGTAGGTAGATAAATTTCCATTTTGAGATATTTCAGTTATCATTCTTCAGTTAATTTAATTCCCCAATCACAGTAAATGTATGTGTAAAAGAATTTTGACAGATGTCCATGATAAGATTCTTAATCTAAGGCTGATGTTGTTGGGAGACATTTTGGTAAATAACATGTTTTATCTGTGTTTTTATCACAGGTTATTCCCCTCGATATCACCCCAGAAATCCAGCAACAAATTATATCAGAATTAGAAGTTTTATACAAAGTAAGTAAAGCTGAGGCTATATTGACAATTTGCTAAATATATCAAAATATATTCGTTGCAATTATTTCCTTGTTACATTGCAAGAATCTTATTATTCTTGAAGTGCTTGAGCCTAATTTCATTATTGTACCACCTGCTTGTGGCCATGGGGAGGTTATGCAAACAAATTTAAGGCCCAAAACTGATCTGACCTTTTTGTCCAAAAAGTTAGTCTGCTGCAGTTCAAGATAAGTAAATAGTAGTCAGATGATTAGTCAGTGATCTGTCCAGTCGTCATTTGGCTTGAGGCTGGACAGCTTTTTTCAGTGCAATTATAGCAAGCAATTTCAAAAAACATACCAAGCTGGTGATATGCATTCATATCAGTTGCCTTTTAAAAAAATCAATTTCAATATAAATATCGATGTTTTATATTTGTTTGAATAGCTTGATACCTTAACTGCGTTTTCTGAAAGTCATATAATTCATTGAAGGCATTTTATTTTGATTTCAGAGCAATTCTCCTATGATAATAGGATTTTATGGTGCTTATTTTATTGAAAATAGAATTTCCATTTGTACAGAATTTATGGATGGTAAGACTTCCATTTTCAATATTTTGTTAAAGCATCATCTAAGAATTTTAGTTATTTTCTATTTCTTTACCACATACAATGAAGTTCAAATGTTGATGAATATTCTGGCTTGGACAAAATGGGTTGTTTGTAGCAAAATGAAAACCATTATTTTTTGGATTTTTCAATTTTAGTTTTTATTTTCTGGTGAAGCTGGTGAAAAATGAATGCTTAAAAAATTTATATTTTTCCTATTCTGTACAAATTCTGTACATATCAGTAGATAATTTACATGCAAAAACTACTGTAACAATAAAATTGTTATCATTGATTATACTATTTCCAGGAGGCTCATTAGACAAGTATGGCCAAATTCCTGAAACAGTATTAGGTAGAATGGCAGTAGCAGTAGTAAAAGGCTTACATTATTTATGGAACTTAAAGATTATGCATAGAGGTATGTATTGAATTATTGAAAGATGGAAGCATTTTCCGAGACTTCTCAGAATACAAAATTCTTGTTTTGACTGTTATTTTTTCATTTAATTAAAGATTAACGTAAATATGTATTTCCAAAAAATTGATATTACATTAATTATTTTACAGTCAAAAAATTGTTTTTTGAAATGAAATATAATCAAAAAATGTTTATTTTTCAGATGTCAAACCCTCCAATATTTTAGTCAACACACAAGGACACGTGAAGCTGTGTGATTTTGGAGTCAGTGTGCAGGTATAGCTCAAGCGCAACAGTCAGGAGGGAGTTTTATGAGGAGTTATTCAGTTTTGATTTTGTTTCTCTTGTCTTTGCTGTGAAACTTTTAGTCTACAGGTGTCCCTTTGAGCCACCAGGGTGTAAGAATCTACTGGCCCAAAATGACAACAGAAGTTGGTATCAAAACAAAATTAAAAAATTATTTTGGCCCAGTTGCAATTTCACTGGCATTCACTGTGGGGCCAGTGTTATTGTCACTGATCAGTTTTGTCTTTTTACTTTAAACACACTGTTTCTTATTTATTTGAATACTTATGAAAACTTCAAAATGTTTATTTTGAATGGTATAACACTGGTTTTTGCTTTTTAAATATTTTTGAAAACATCAATATATTTAGTGTTAAAAGGTAATTTTAATGTTAAAATGCATTTTTGTTTTTCAGTTAGTAACTTCAATAGCCAGGACATACGTAGGCACTAATGTGTACATGGCAGTAAGTATTTAGTAATTTAGTAATGTATAATCTTTTTATCTTTACACCAGAGTTTTTAAAACCCATTTTGCTTTGAGTTATTTAAAGAAGACTACATAACACTGCAGTTTTTAAGGTTTCACTGCTTGCTTTACCAGAAGTCTGTGGTAGGATTGTTTATATACAGAAGATTCATTAGTTTTTTTATTGGAAAATGTTAGATATAGCTTACTGTCTATACATATGTGTATGTCTCTGAATTTCAGCCAGAAAGATTAGAGGGTAATGGCTATAGTATTCACTCAGAGGTGTGGAGTTTTGGGCTATCTTTATGTGAGGTATGTTTTTTTTTTTTTTTTTTTCTTTAATGAAAATCCTTAACCAGGTATGTTAAATAGATTTATTCAGTGAAATTTATGTCAGGTGATTTCTTCATGACTATTTTCATGTTGTGGGTTATTGCAACAATTGCTCTAACAGCTAAATTATTTTGTTCTTGCAGTTAGCTGTAGGCAGGTTTCCTTATAAAGCACCAGTAAGTAGATGTAATATTTTCAACATTATACCAGATGTGTAAGTTTAGAATGTATTTTAATTCACATAAATTTTCATGTTGATAATGGCAAAAGATTGAAAGTTTTAGTTAACTTCAAAAACTTGTGATCACCAAAAGCAATGAATGAATGAATGCAAAAATTTTGTAAATATATTGAGGGTATTACAAGGTGTGTATCAAGCCCACTCTAATATCAGAGTGGACAAATGTAATTTCACTTTCTGCAGGTGATTTAAAATTTAGGCTTTACAATTTATGTTATTTTAGTAAATATTTTCCTTTTTTCTTTTCTAGGACCATTCAAATTCAGCAATTGGGCTATTAAATACAATTGTGAAAGAGGTATTGTATAGAATTTTGATATAAGTTATATATTAAAAAAAGCTGATTTAATTTTAAAGAAGTTGAGTTTTTATTTGAAATTATGACACTCACTCAATTCATTAATATAAAAGAAAGACTAAGATTTGTACCTGTGTCCTTTGATTTCAGCCTCCACCTAGACTTCCAGATGGCATCTTTTCAGAGGGGTTTATAGATTTTGTTGCCTTGTGGTATGTACACATTAATATGCGTGAACCGATAATAAATTTTTACCCTTTTATTAATTGATAAACAAATAAGGTGACAAGTTAATTTCATAGTCTTTGGTGCTTCTTTACTTCAATCCATGTTCTTTAGGGCAATAGAAACTTAAAGATTAAGGTTATCATTATTTTGCTTTGTTTTTATTTTTTATTATTTTTTATTTATTTATTTGTAGTATGCAGAAAGATCCAACCATAAGGCCTGCACCAAGAGACCTTCTGGTAAGTTTATTTGGTTTTGTTCAAGTGTGTATAGGTGGTTGTGCTAGAGGATATTTAATCAGTTGTACCAGGTACTGTAAAGGAGTATGTTTCATTTATAATACATCTCAACTAACACAATTTCTTACTGTCTGCAGTTTGACTTGACAGCTATGTTAAGCAAACTATGCATTTTAGAATATTTAATCCCAGTGCCCAGAATTGGTTATGAATATTTTGAAATATTGTTTTTTCAGCAACATCCATTCATAGTAAAAAATGATGATGGTAACACAGAGATAATAGCAGCTTGGGTTGGTGCTAAACTTCAGCAAATCCAGCTACGGAGAATTGCTCATGCAACAAGCAGTGCATAAGTTATTATCCAAAGAGTGGCAACAAGGCCCAAATATGCAGATGTAACATCTTAACAAAACAAGTGACTGGCAGTCAGTATTGGTTGCAAAGCACATCACTTACAAGAATGTTTCAGAACACATGGAGAAAAATGGACTATTTGGGAGTTGCAGAATCATTTGCAAAACTTCTAAGGGCTATGTGAGAAACTGATGTTTCTGGGAAAAATGTAGCTTCATGAAGAGGTCCTGCTTTTACAATTACAGTTGCATTAGACATTCTACATAGGGGCATGAGTAACAATTTTATTATGTTGACGATGATGACTGTGATATTTATTTTTGGGTGAGCAGTGTAATGTGAAACACTGGGTACGTCATTTTTTATGATGTGAACTAATACTTTATTAATTAAATTTAAGACTTGAACCAAGATCAGGAATATTATACTGTAATGCTGGCCTATGGTGAATGCTGCCTTTAACAGGATTATCATAATGGGGATTGGATGTAGCTCAGTGATGCACACTGGCATTTTTTCCAGTTACAAATACTTACCTTTTTGCAAGAATTTAAAAGGTTTGTCACAAACTTGACAAATATTGGAATCTGAAATTTACTGCTTAAAGCACAGTAATTGCTTCGTAGTCATACTACTGTATTATTTTGTGTGACATTCAAGACCTTTCTACAAACATTTTACCCACATTAGAGACAGTGGTCAATAAACTGGAAATGCATGTTATATAAAGGCAGTGTCAGTAGAAAAAATTTGGGTCACAGAACACTTTTTCTTTTATGATGAGAAATTGAGTATTGTTCTAAGAGGTTGGTTGGTTGTCAACAAATTAATGAGTGCTACTTGTACAATATTCCTGCTTCAAAGTTGTTTATTAAATTATTATAAAGGTTTTTGTTTAAAAGGCATCCATCTGATTTTTATCTCTACTTACGATTTACTTACTGAAACCTCTGGCTCATAACTTAAAACATACCTAGATGTGAAAGAATGATTTTCTTAGCAGTTTCTATGTGTAAACACGAGATTAAACAAAAATTGAATAGGTCAGGTCTTTGAGAAAAGGGTGTACTGGCATCATAATACATACTTTGGTAAACAGGAATTGATTAGAATTAAGCTGATGTGGTAAGCAAAAAGTGAATTGCTGATTGTGCCCTATTATCTACAAGTATGCTTCATACCTACATCACATATAAATGTGCCTGAAACTATTCATATAATTTCAAAAAAAATAAATTTTTTATTCTCCATTTAAAATGAAATAGCATTTCCCCTATGATAAAACAGCATATGGTTTTTGTTTGTATGTTTTAAACAGTGAAGGATACTAGTAGTCCAATTATTGCCCAGGGATTGAACATGTTTATTGAGACATATTTATTTAGTTCAATACCTTGTGAAGTTGGCTGAGCTTGAACTGCAGGGTTTATTGCCATATCTCATTCAGCAATGAGTCGAAACTTAAAAAGCTCATAAAAGTGACTATCACATGCATATTGATTTGGTTAGCAACTTCATTTACAATAAGCAATTAAAGACACTAGTTTGAACACGTATTGGAAAGCTAAAGCTGCCACAAAGGCAATACACATTTTAAGGTGTATGAGTTTGGTATAAGAAGACAATGAAAAAATACAGCCTTTTCCAAAAGATGTTGGAGGATGGTATCTTAGACAAAATCTAGCTGGCTAGACCTGATCAACATAGTGATATCAAGAGTGGTTTTATAGATAAGACTTAAGTCTACCTTCAGTGTAATCTAGCTCATAAACGAGTTGTAACTTAGAAACATGTAAGCTCCAAGGTATTTATATTTTAATGGTTTTATAGCATATTAAACTAAAATCATAACCTTGGGATGCAGATGTACAGGAATGTTGTTTTAGTAATGGCAAGCAATTGGCTACATTGACTGAACTTGATCTAAAGTCATACTGGTTATGACTGTAGAAACTTAAACACACAAAAATTGGTTAGTTTTCATCACACTAAACCAAGTAGCAGTTAATTTGAAGGATACTGTCTTAATTACTGTTATAATGATATACAGAATTAACGAATTATAACTAGTAGTAGAGCATGTTGATTTAAATACAAACATGGTGGACAGGCCCGTAGCCAGCAATTTCAAAAGGAGGGTTCGTTTTCTGAAAAAGTGGACCTTTTCCCATAAAAACTTCATGTACCTAGATCAAATTTTACCCAGAGTGGACCTTTTCCCAGCAAAAGGGGCGGTTCTTTCGAACCCCCCGAACCCCCGCTGGCTACGGGCCTGGTGGAAAAAAACATTTTAAATACATCGTTATAGGCTATGTATACCATGATTCATTGATACATAAATAACCTGCATACACCTGTATATCAGTTATGCATATTCCATCAATTGAGTGAAACAATTGGAAAATTACTGTTGGTGTGGGAAGTTGTCAAGACCAGCATGTGTCATTATATGTGAATATAATTTATTATGATGCAATAAGTGTATCCACTGAATATGATAGTTTTAATGAAAAATGGGCTTGCTGCATGCTTGTTCATGTACAAAGGTGCCATATGCTCAATTGTCTTTATTAAGGAACAGTGTTCTTTTAAATGTGTTCTGGTTAAAATGATGAAAATCTGTCAAGTAACTGCATGGTGCAGATCAGCATTGGTTTATATGTAAATGGGGTTTGAGTGTTACATAGGTCAAATAAACCAAACATGAGTGTATTATTTTTGCCTAGATGGGTTATCAATGTAATAGTGGAGTGGACATCTGGCTTCAGAATAAAATATGTGTTGAACAATTTAATGATTATAAGAATAATTTTCTCAGCATTATGCTTCAATTCCTTAATAATAATACATTAGGTTTTTGACTTGGATCACATCTTTCTCTCCTGATGTTTCATATTAAACCACACTGCCCCATTCAATTTTTCAATAAATTCTTTGGTCTTTAAATTTTTCTATCTGATAATCATTGTTATAAATGGTTGTACACTGAAAGATTACCAAAAAAGGTAGTAGAGGTAACAAAGTTAATATCGAAGTCACTGTAGCATAATAACCTCTCGCCTTTAATTTGACAGTGATGGATGGCCTCTGTGTGGTAAACAGCATTTTTAGATAAATTGATCAATTTGACCAATGTAAACACACAGAGTAAGTTCAGCTCAAAACAGACATGACTTGTATCTGTTTATGCTAATTAAATCCATAACGCATGAAAAAGCTTCCCTTATTATATATTTGTACATTGCTTTCAAATTTATGAAAACAAAATTATGATTCTGTAGATAAATATTGTCAGTTATTCTCATCCTGTTTGGTAAAATAACAAAGAGGAACTATTTACTTTTAAGCTCCAATGATTTCACTCCTGACTTTTATCAAAGCCCTAACAAATGAGATTATATGCATTTACCAACATGTATAGAAAAATGTTATTCTTCATTTTTGAGGGCAATGTCTGTAAGGATCATATATGTATGAGCCACCACAAATATTAAGTCACCACAGACTTACTTAAATGCTGCATGCACTTGCACCTATATATAACTGTGCAGTCATTGTTATTGCATTGATTCTTCAATTCTCCATGCTCTGGCATTTCCTTATTGTATTCAATTGATATGAACTCCAAAAACAGGTAAAAAAAACATGTATGAAATACTCTGGGTTTTTTTCAATGGCTGGAATTATTTTGCTTGACAATGTACAGTTGATATGTCGGCTTTAGTATAAACTGGCATAATGGGAATTATTTCCTTTTCCAAGCTTGTGTATTTAATTAACTTGAAGTCCAGGTTAAAATAACATGTAGCAGTTAGAGGTCCAAAAGGTTGGTATTATGTCTTTCTTACAAATAATACCTTTTCTAAGAGTGTATCTGTGATGATTTATATTGCTTTTCCATTCTAATGAAATATTTTCCTCTACCTAAAGATAAAAATTACATGTTGCATTTATCAATTAAGATTATCATATCATTTTCTTTATTATCATGTTGTAAATGGGCTGTCCTAAAAAATATTGATATTATACATTAAACTAAAGCTCTGAATCATGCCTGGTTTACTGTTGCTGTTTACATGTTGCATTTATCCATTTAGACTAGATTATTATTTCACTTTCTTTAATATTATGTTGCAAATTGGCTATTCTAAAAAAAGATTGCTATTATACATTAAACTACAGCTCTGAATCATGTCTGGCTTATTTTCTTGTAATAAAACTTCTGCTGTAAAAGAAAACAGGGCTACTCAGGTTGTAAAAATAAATGACGTTATTTATGAAAAATATCTGGTCAGAAGCCATTTTATTAACCACCTGTCTGACAACCTGATTAAGGCTTTTATTAATTTATTATTTTTTTAATGTCAGAATACAGAAAATGAATAGTTTTAACTATTAAAATGTGTTAAAAGAAAATTAAGTTTTAACTAAAATAAGCCCTCTTTTCACACATAGTAGTACGTGCACATATAAATCCACCCCTTCAATTCATTTTGTAAGATAAATTGCAACTTGTAAAATACAAATGTCATGTCATCTTCTCAAATTCTAACGTCTCTTAGATGAACACAAAAATAAATCGTTAGTAAAGTACTCTCCCAGTGCAAACAAAATATGTAGTGCTGTTTTACTTGAAAACATGCCAAAAAATTTTTTTCTGGCATTGTTCATTTGAAATAAGTCTAAAAGGTAAAAAAAATTCCTTATCTTCCATATGAAATTTCATTTATTTCCTAGTTTTTCTGACTATACGGACTAGCCAGAAGTTCGTGTGAAGAATGTTTAAACAGTGAGTTATTTGCATAGTATGTAACGCCACGAGTGTTTATGTCCTCAGAGTTCAGAGTTCACGTGTCAGCCAGTATAACCTTCCACTACGCTACAGCACTGCGCGCATAGGACTGTCGCGTTTTGTGGCTGCCGGTAACATTACAAGTGTCTTTCTCGCTTGCTGAAGCCCTAGCCTGCATTAGGATGGACGCGAAGTCACACGTATTACTGGCTGCTCTCATGGGTATTTTGGCAGTTTCATTTGGTGAGTTTAATTGTATGATGTGTTAAGTTTTAATTGTCAATAAATTGGGTTGTACAGTAACAGCTTCTGTTATACAATTGAGGTTCTAGTGAATTCTTAAACAGATCAAGCGTTAAATCGGGTGTTATAAATGCGCGTCCGTGTCACAGATAGATATCATGAATGTCATGAATGTTCAGAAGTGGACTACGTACTCATTACACACTTGATTATTTGCAAACGTAATATTACCACAAAAGCCAAAATGTTATTCTCCAGGCAAGCCACGGTGTGATGAAACCTAACAACCTTATCGCTTCTGTCGTAGCACAAAATAGGTTACTGAATATGAACACTTTAGATTAAATGGCAACTTGGCTGTTACAAGGAATTTTATGTCCGATTTGCTGTTGTCACTAAACGTCATGTTACTTTTTGTACGTGGAGTTAATGGCTTGTGAACTTTTCACGTAATTCACCTGTCGTGTGTGTTTATGCTTGGTGTTTTGTTACAGCTGCAACAAAGTGTCACTTTTAAAGCCAGTTAGGTAATGTGTTGTGATCTACAAGCACATGCAGGTAAATACAGTTTAATAATATGATTATATAAGGCTTTATACTCTGTAACTGTACAGTTAGTGGAGAAAGTAGCAGGCTGAGGACTTCAATAAAAACGATAGTAGATAATACCTCGACTCAACTTGGATCAAAGATACAGTATGTTACTGTTGATATAACAGATATTCATAACATGAAAAAAAATAAAAAAAGGCAAATGCTTCAAGTAGGAGTAGAAAAATCATTGGTAGGTAGGCCTACATGTGTAAGGATGTAGATAGGTAACTTAATAACACCACATACTTGTGAAATTTGTAACTCTGAATACATGTACAGTACACCTACGAGTAGTTCATGCAGGATCTTATCCAATTAACATTGAATGTGTTGTTGTTGTGATTTAATTGTTTATATAACTTTATTATTTAGTTTGAAGTTAACGTTTTTTAAAATGGTTCCAGTTACATCTGTTTCTAACACTCCAAAGCATAGAGTATATGACATCGCAGATAGTTGGACCGTTTTTAATGAGACCTTTTCCTGCTACCGCAGCTTGGACCCATTACATATTATGGGTTCGAGTACTACATGAATTTTTATTTAAATATAACCATAGGCAGCAAATGAAATCCCTCTGTTCTCAGTAGATGTGGCAAGCTTGTAAAGATTCAGAGAACAGTTGGATTCTCTCTCCCCAGGCTTCATCAAGGTCTATGCCCATGACCCTAACTCCCACCTGATAACAGAATACCACCCTAGCTATGATCTGTCTGTAGAGATTTTTTCCTGAGTGTCAGAATATGTTATTGTCATTGTTGTTTACCTAGTCATTGTTATGGCTGGTACAGGGACATTTGCCTTATTGTCATTGTTTGAAAGATATGGTCACATACTCTCACTTGTGTACTACATAGCGCTTATCAAAGGACTATTGAACCCTATGAGAATACAAGCTGTTAATAATTTTTATATAGAATGTTTTCATGTTGGACCACCTTAGACCTATGACTGGAGGGGAATTCTGTTTGTGTACTCTGCAAGATACTGATCTCTTAGTCAGACAATTCATCCTTTGTATTGCTATCTGACCAATGCACTGCCACCTTGTTGGAAATTTATGTATTTATTGTGAAATTAATTTTACTCTCTAGCCTTTAAAATGGACCAGCCCAGAGTGAAGAATGTTTTGCTGCAGATTTATTATTGTACATTTTTTCAAGCAATTAATGCTATTAAAAATATACCAGCCTTAGTGCTGAAAGTGCAATACAGTAACGGATGCACAAGATGGAGAATGGTGTCACAGTGGACCGAAAGCCTTCTATTTTTTCCTCCGTTCAAAAGAAAAAAAATTGATACTAAATGAAACCAAACAATTTTTCCACCCATGCCCTCATATCTGTACATATTGCAGTAAAACTGCACTTTTTAACTATTTTAAAATTTGTCGTTCAGCCAAGCAGAATTTTTTTTTTTGCCTCCCCCCCCCCCCTTTACCGAAATAGTTTGCCAGCCTGTTAGATAACTGCCCACCTGTTTACCCATATTAAAACTGTATGTTGCAGTGATGTAACCTGATAATTTATGTTTAGAGGCGGGGCCAGAAATTAAATTCAAATTTGCTAGATGTCATTTCCCTGTCACTATGTGGGCAGGATCAAGAGTTTCACTGCTGCAGTCAAGCAAGTTTCCTTTGTTTACACAGTGTCTGTTTGTTATTGTTTTAGCTTTAACCGTAATTGTAAGTAGTAGAATTGGATTCAGTGACAATATTATTTTTAGATATGTGAAATCTGCTTTGTAATCTCAAAAATGAAATACCAGGATGTGTCAGACTTACCAGTCCAATATCTCGTACATGTAACACATGTGGAAGAAATCCACTCTCATGAACACTGCAGAAAAACAAAGTTGTGGCAGGGTACCCTGTTAAAACATTGCTGCTGAATGCGTCACTGAAGGGTGGTGCATTTCTTATCCTTTTTAAGGAGAATTGTCACTGTATTTGGGGATTATGGGAAAGCAAAGAGCAGCTTTAGATGGGTTTCAGGTGTTAAACTGTCTGTCTTTTTGATACNCTTTTTTTTTTGGGGGGGGGTGGTTCCATTCGAATGCGCTTACTCCAGCTGGTGGTACAATATCCGGAGGCGGTATCGCCTCTCTGATCCTCTAGTTCAGTTTTGATTTTGTTTCTCAGTCTTTGCTGCGAAACTTTTAGTCTACAAGTGTCCCTTTGAGCCACCAGGGTGTAAGAATCTACTGGCCCAAAATGACAACAGAAGTTGGTATCAAAACAAAATTTAAAAATTATTTTGGCCCAGTTACAATTTCACTGGCATTCACTGTGGGGCCAGTGTTATTGTCACTGATCAGTTTTGTCTTTTTACTTTAAACAAACTGTTTCTTATTTATTTGAATACTTATGAAAACTTCAAAATGTTTATTTTGAATGGTATAACACTGGTTTTTGCTTTTTAAATATTTTTGAAAACATCAATATATTTAGTGTTAAAAGGTAATTTTAATGTTAAAATGCATTTTTGTTTTTCAGTTAGTAACTTCAATAGCCAGGACATACGTAGGCACTAATGTGTACATGGCAGTAAGTATTTAGTAATTTAGTAATGTATAAACTTTTTATCTTTACACCAGAGTTTTTAAAACCCATTTTGCTTTGAGTTATTTAAAGAAGACTACATAACACTGCAGTTTTTAAGGTTTCACTGCTTGCTTTACCAGAAGTCTGTGGTAGGATTGTTTATATACAGAAGATTCATTAGTTTTTTTATTGGAAAATGTTAGATATAGCTTACTGTCTATACATATGTGTATGTCTCTGAATTTCAGCCAGAAAGATTAGAGGGTAATGGCTATAGTATTCACTCAGAGGTGTGGAGTTTTGGGCTATCTTTATGTGAGGTATGTTTTTTTTTTTTTTTTCTTTAATGAAAATCCTTAACTAGGTATGTTAAATAGATTTATTCAGTGTAATTTATGTCAGGTGATTTCTTCATGACTATTTTCATGTTGTGGATTATTGCAACAATTGCTCTAATAGCTAAATTATTTTGTTCTTGCAGTTAGCTGTAGGCAGGTTTCCTTATAAAGCACCAGTAAGTAAAATGTGATATTTTCAAAATTATGCCAGATGTTAAAGTTTAGAATGTATTTCATGTAATTCACATGAATTTTCGTGTTGAGAATGGCAAAAGATTGAAAGCTTTTAGATAACTTCATAAACTGTGATCACCAAAAGCAACAAATGAATGCAAAAATATTGTAAATATATTCATATTGAGAATGTTATAAGGTGTGTATCAAGCCCACACTAATATCAGAATAGACAATTGTGATTTATTTGAATCACTCGTGAATATAATTTCACTTTCTGCAGGCATTTTAAAATTTAGTCATTACAATTTGTTATTTTTGTAATTATATTTTTTCTTTTCTAGGACCATTCAAATTCGGCAATTGGGCTATTAAATACAATTGTGAAAGAGGTACTGTATGGAATTTTGATATGAGTTATATATTTAAAAAAGCTGATTTAATTTTAAAGAAGTTAAGTTTTTATTTGAAATTATGACACTAACTCAATTCATTAATGTAGAAAGACTAAGAAAGACTAAGACTAAGAAAGACTTAAGATTTGTACCTGTGTCCTTTGATTTCAGCCTCCACCTAGACTTCCAGATGGCATCTTTTCAGAGGGATTTATAGATTTTGTTGCTTTGTGGTATGTACACAGTAATATGTGTGAATCAGTAATATATTTTTACCCTTTTATTAATTGATAAACAAATAAGGTAACAAGTTAATTTCACTGTCTGTAATGCTTCTTTATTTCAATCCATGTTCTTCAATGCTATAGAAACTTTAAGATTAAGATTATCATTATTTTGCTTTGTTTTTATTTTTTATTTATTTTATTCTTTTATTTATTTATTTATTTATTTGTAGTATGCAGAAAGATCCAACCATAAGGCCTGCACCAAGAGACCTTCTGGTAAGTTTATTTGGTTTTGTTCAAGTGTGCTGAGGTGGTTGCGCTAGAGGATATTTAAGCAGTAGTACCAGGTACTGTGAAGGAGTATGTTTCATTTATAATGCATCTCAACTAACACAATTTCTTACTGTGTGCAGTTTGACGTGACAGCTGTGTTAAGCAAACTCTGCATTTTAGAATATTTAATCCCATTGCCCAAAATTGGTTATGAATATTTTGAAATCTTGTTTTTTCAGCAACATCCATTCATAGTAAAAAATGATGATGGTAACACAGAAATAATAGCAGCTTGGGTTGGTGCTAAACTTCAGCAAATCCAGCTACGGAGAATTGCTCATGCAACAAGCAGTGCATAAGTTATCATCCAAAGAGTGGCAAGAAGGCCCAAATACGCAGATGTAACATCTTAACAAAACAAGTGATTGGCACTCAGTATTGGTGGCAAAGCACATCACTTACAAGAATGTTTCAGAACACATGGAGAAAAGTGGACTATTTATGAGTTGCAGAATCATTTGCAAAACTTCCAAGGGCTATGTGAGAAACTGATGTTTCTGGGAAAAATGTAGCTTCATGAAGAGGTTCTGCTTTTACTATTACAGTTGCATTAGACATTCTACATAGGTGCATGAGTAATAATTTCGTCGTGTTGACAATAATGACTGTGATATTTATTTTTGGGTGAACAGTGAAACACTGGATACATTAATTTTTATGACATAAACTAATACTTTATGAATTAGATTTAAGATTTAAACCAACATCAGGAATATAATGCTGGCCTATGGTGAAAACTGCCTTTAACAGGATTATCATAACGGGGAATCGATGTAGTTCAGTGATGCACACTGACATTTTTTCCAGTTACAAATACTTACCTTTTTGCAAGAATTTAAAAGGTTTTGTCACAAACTTGACAAATATTGGAATCTGAAATTTACTGTTTAAAGCACAGTAATTGCTTCGTAATCATACTACTTTATTATTTTGTGTTATATTCAAGACCTTTCTGCAAACATTTTACCCACATTAGAGACAGTGGTCAATAAACGGGAAATGCATGTTATATAAAGGCAGTGTCTGTAGAGAAATTTTAGGTCACAGAACGCATTTTCTATTATGCCAAGAAATTGAGTATTGTTCTGAGAAGTTGGTCAGTTGTCAACAAATTAATGAATGCTACTTGTACAATAGTCCTGCTTCGAAGTTGTTTAATTATGTTCTTGGTTTTTGTTTTAAAGGGACCCATATGATTTTTTATCTCTACTTACAATTTACTCACTGAAACCTCTGGCTCATAACTTAAATTATACCTAGATGTGAAGGAATGATTTTCATAGCAGTTTCTATGTGTAAACACGAGATTAAACAAAAATTGAATAGGCCAGGTCTTTGAGAAAAGAGTGTACTGGCATCATAATACATACTTTGGTAAACAGGAATTGATTAGAATTAAGCTGATGTGGTAAGCAAAAAGTGAATTACTGATTGTGCCCTATTATCTACAAGTATGCTTCATACCTACATCACTGATCACAAAATATAAATGTGCCTAAAACTATTCTTATGATTTCAAAAAAATAAATTATTTTTCATTTAAAATGAAATAGCATTTTTCCTATGATAAAACAGCACATGGTTTTTGTTTGTATGTTTTATGAATGATACTAGTACTGTATGAAGGATACTAGTAGTCCAATTATTGCCCAGGGATTGAACATGTTTATCGAGACATTTATGTAGGTCAATACCTAGTTGGCTAAGCTTGAACAGCAGGGTTTATTGCCATATCTCATTCAGCAATGAGTCGAAACTTAAAAAGCTCATAAAAGTGACTATCACGTGCATATTGATTTGGTTAGCAACTACATTTACAATAAGCAAATAAAGAGACTTGTTTGAACCTGTATTGGAAAGTTAAGGCTGCCACAAAGTCAATACACATTTTAAGGTGTATGAATTTTTGGTGTAAGAAGACAATGAAAAATACAGCCTTTTCCAAAAGATGTTGGAGGATGGTATCTCAGACGAAATCTAGCTGGCTAGACCTGATCAACATAGTGATATCAAGAGCGATTTTACAGATAAGACTTAAGTCAACTTTCAGTGTAATCTAGCTCATAAACGAGTTGTAACTTAGAAACATGTAAGCTCCAAGGTATTTATATTTTAATGGTTTTATAGCATATTAAACTAAAATCATAACCTTGGGATGCAGATGTACAGGAATGTTGTTTTAGTAATGGCAAGCAATTGGCTACATTGACTGAACTTTGATCTAAAGTCATACTGGTTATGACTGTAGAAACTTAAACACACAAAAATTGGTTAGTTTTCATCACACTAAACCAAGTGGCAGTTAATTTGAAGGATACTGTCTTAATTACTGTTATAATGATATACGGAATTAACAAATTATAACTAGTAGTAGAGCATGTTGATTTAAATACAAACATGGTGGACAGGCCCGTAGCCAGCAATTTCAAAAGGGGGGTTTGTTTTCTGAAAAAAGTGGACCTTTTCCCATAAAAACTTCACGTACCTAGATCAAATTTTACTCAGAGTAGACCTTTTCCCAGCAAAAGGGGCGGTTCTTTCGAACCCCCCGAACCCCCCCTGGCAACGGGCCTGGTGGAAAAAAACATTTTAAATACATCGTTATAGGCTATGTATACCATGATTCATTGGTACATAAATAACCTGCATACACCTGTATATCAGTTATGCATATGCCATCAATTGAGTGAAACAATTGGAAAATTACTGTTGCTGTGGGAAGTTGTCAAGACCAGCATGTGTCATTATATGTGAATATAATTTATTATGATGCAATAAGTGTATCCACTGAATATGATAGTTTTAATGAAAAATGGGCTTGCTGCATGCTTGTTCATGTACAAAGGTGCCATATGCTCAATTGTCTTTATTAAGGAACAGTGTTCTTTTAAATGTGTTCTGGTTAAAAATGATGAAAATCTGTCAAGTAACTGCATGGTGCAGATCAGCATTGGTTTATATGTAAATGGGGTTTGAGTGTTACATAGGTCAAATAAACCAAACATGAGTGTATTATTTTTGCCTAGATGGGTTATCAATGTAATAGTGGAGTGGACATCTGGCTTCAGAATAAAATATGTGTTGAACAATTTAATGATTATAAGAATAATTTTCTCAGCATTATGCTTCAATTCCTTTGACCTGCTGTTGAATGATTCTTGTAATACATTAGGTTTTTGACTTGGATCACATCTTTCTCTCCTGATGTTTCATATTAAACCACACTGCCCCATTCCATTTTTCAATAAATTCTTTGGTCTTTAAATTTTTCTATCTGATAATCATTGTTATAAATGGTTGTACACTGAAAGATTACCAAAAAAGGTAGTAGAGGTAACAAAGTTAATATCGAAGTCACTGTAGCATAATAACCTCTCGCCTTTAATTTGACAATGATGGATGGCCTCTGTGTGGTAAACAGCATTTTTAGATAAATTGATCAATTTGACCAATGTAAACACACAGAGTAAGTTCAGCTCAAAACAAACATGACTTGTATCTGTTTATGCTAATTAAATCCATAACTCATGAAAAAGCTTCCCTTATTATATATTTGTACATTGCTTTCAAATTTATGAAAACAAAATTATGATTCTGTAGATAAATATTGTCAGTTATTCTCATCCTGTTTGGTAAAATAACAAAGAGGAACTATTTACTTTTAAGCTCCAATGATTTCACTCTTGACTTTTATCAAAGCCCTAACAAATGGGATTTTATGCATTTACCAATGTGTATAGAAAAATGTTATTCTTCATTTATGAGGGCAATGTCTGTGAGGATCATATATGCATAAGCCACCACAAATATTAAGTCACCACAGACTTTCTTAAATGCTGCATGTACTTGCACCTATATATAGCTGTGCAGCCATTGTTATTGCATCGATTCTTCAATTCTCCATGCTCTGGCATTTTCTTGTATTCAAATGATATGAACTCCAAAAACAGGTAAAAAAAATATGTATGAAATACTCCTGATTTTTTTCAATGGGTGGAATTATTTTGCTTGTACAGTTGATATGACGGCTTTGATATAATCTGGCATAATGGGAATTATTTCTTTTTCCAAGCTTGTGTATTTAATTAACATGAAGTCCAGGTTAAAATAACATGTAGCAGTTAGAGGTCCATAAGGTTGGTATAATTTCTTTCTTACAACTAATACCTTTTCTAAGAGTGTATCTGTGATGATTTATATTGCTTTTCCATTCTATTGAAATATTTTCCTCTACCTAAAGACAAAAATTACATGTTGCATTTATCCATATAGATTATTATATCATTTTCTTTATTATCATGTTGTAAATGGGCTGTTCTAAAAAAAGATTGATATTGTACATTAAACTAAAGCTCTGAATCATACCTGGTTTACTGTTTCTGTTTACATGTTGCATTTATCCATTTAGACTATTTAGATTATTATTTCACTTTCTTTAATATTATGTTGCAAATTGGCTATTCAGAAAAAAGATTGCTATTATACATTAAACTACAGCTCTGAATCATGTCTGGCTTATTGTCTTGTAATAAAACTTATACTGTAAAAGAAAACAGGGCTACTCAGGTTGTAAAAATAAATGACATTATTTATGAAAAATATCTGGTCAGAAGCCATTTTATTAACCACCTGTCTGATAATCTGATTAAGATTTTTATTAATTTATTATTTTTTTAATGTCGGAATACAGAAAATGAATAGTTTTAACTATTAAAATGTGTCAAAAGAAAATTAAGTTTTAACTAAAATAAGCCCTCTTTTCATACATACTAGTACGTGCACATATAATACCATCCCTTGAATTCATTTTGTAAGATAAATTGCAACTTGTAAAATACAAATGTCATGTCATCTTCTCAAATTCTAACGTCTCTTAGATGTACACAAAAATAAATCGTCAGTAAAGCACTCTCCCAGTGCAAACAATATACATGTCGTAGTTTCACTTCAAAACTTGCAAAAAATTCTTTTTCTGGCATTGTTTGTTTGAAATAAGTCTAATAGGTAAAAAAAAAAAACGTATCTTACTCTTCAGTACTTATGAAATTGAATTTATTTCCTACTTTTGCTGACTATACGTACTAGCTAGAAGTTCGTGTGAAGAATGTTTAAACAGTGAGGTATTTGCATATGTATGTATGTAATGCCACGAGTGTTTATGTCCTCAGAGTTCAGAGTTCACGTGTCAGCCAGTATAACCTTCCACTACGCTACAGCACTGCACGCATAGGACTGTCGCGTTTTGTGGCTGCCGGTAACATTATAAGTGTCTCTTTCTCTCTCTTGCTGAAGCCCTAGCCTGCCTTAGGATGGACACGAAGTCACACGTATTACAGTTGGTTCTCATGGGTATTTTTGCAGTTTCATTTGGTGAGTTTTATTGTATGATGTGTTAAGTTTTAATTATCAATCAATTTGGTTGTACAGTAACAGCTTCTGTTATACAATTGAGGTTCTAGTGAATTCTTAAACAGATCAAGCGTTAAATCAGGTGTTATAAATGCGTGTCCGTGCCACAGATAGATATCATGAATGTTCAGAAATGGACTACGTACATGTATTCATTACACACTTGATTATTTGCAAACGTAATATTACCACAAAAGCCAAATTGTTGTTATCCAGGCAAGCCACGGTGTGGCAAGCACGGTGTGATGAAACCTAACAACCTTATCACTTCTGCCGTAGCACAAAATAGGTTACTGAATATGAACACTTTAGTTAAAATGGCAACTTGGCCGGGAATTTTATGTCCGATTTGCTGTTGTCACTAAACGTCATGTTAATGTTTTGTACGTGGAGTTAATGGCTTGTGAACTTTTCACGTAATTCACCTGTCGTGTGTGTTATGCTTGGTGTTTTGTTACAGCTGCAACAAAGTGTCACTTTTAAAGCCAGTTAGGTAATGTGTTGTGATCTACAAGTACATGCAGGTAAATACAGTTTAATAATATGATTATATAAGGCTTTATACTCTGTAACTGTACAGTTAGTGGAGAAAGTAGCAGGGTGAGGACTTCAATAAAAACGATAGTAGATAATGCCTCGACTCGACTTGGATCAAAGATACAGTATGTTACTGTTGATATAACAGATATCACGATAACACGAAAAAATAAAAAAAAAGGCAAATACTTCAAGTAGGAGTAGAAAAATTATTGGTAGGTAGGCCTACACGTGTAAGGATGTAGACAGGTAACTTAATAACACCACATGCTTGTGAAATTATGTGTAACTCTGAATACATGTTCAGTACACCTACGAGTAGTTCATGCAGGATCTTATCCAATTAACTTTGAATGTGTTGTTGTTGTGATTTAATTGTTTATATAACTTTATTATTTAGTTTGAAGTTAACGTTTTATAAAATGGTTCCAGTTACATCTGATTCTAACACTCCAAAGCAAAGAGTACATGACATCGCAGATAGTTGGACCGTTTTTGATGAGACCTTTTCCTGCTACCGCAGCTTGGACCCATTATATATAATGGGTTCAAGTACTACATGAATTTTTATTTAAATATACATAGGCAGCAAATGAAATCCCTCTGTTCTCAGTAGATGTGGCATGCTTGTAAAGATTCAGAGAACAGTTGGATTCTCTCTCCCCAGGCTTCATCAAGGATCAAGATCCATGCCCATACCCTAACCCCCACCTGATAACAGAATACCACCAGGTAGCTATGATCTGTCTGTAGAGATTTTTTCCTGAGTGTCAGAATATGTTATTGTTATTGTTGTTTACTTAGTCATTGTTATGGCTGGTACAGGGACATTTGCCTTATTGTCATTGTTTGAAAGATATGGTCACATACTCTCACTTGTGTACTACATAGCGCTTATCAAAGGACTATTGAACCCTATGAGAATACAAGCTGTTAATAATTTTTATATAGAATGTTTTCATGTTGGACCACCTTAGACCTATGACTGGAGAGGAATTCTGTTTGTGTACTCTGCAAGATACTGATCTCTTAGTCAGACAATTCATCCTTTGTATTGCTATCTGGCCAATACACTGCCACCTTGTTGGAAATTTATGTATTTATTGTGAAATTAATTTTACTCTCTAGCCTTTAAAATGGACCAGCCCAGAGTGAAGAATGTTTTGCTGCAGATTTATTATTGTACATTTTTTCAAGCAATTAATGCTATTAAAAATATACCAGCCTTAGTGCTGAAAGCGCAATACAGTAACGGATGCACAAGGTGGAGGATGGTGTCACAGTGGACCGAAAGCCTTCTATTTTTTCCTCCATTCAAAAGAAAAAAAATTGATACTAAATGAAACCAAACAATTTTTCCACCCATGCCCTCATATCTGTACATATTGCAGTAAAACTGCCCTTTTTAACTATTTTAAAATTTGTCGTTCAGCCAAGCAGAATTTTTTTTTTTTTGCCTCCCCCCCCCCCCTTTACCGAAATACTAGATTTGCCAGCCTATTAGATAACTGCCCACCTGTTTACCCATATTAAAACTGTATGTTGCAGTGATGTAACCTGATAATTTATGTTTAGAGGCAGGGCCAGAAATTAAATTCAATTTTGCTAGATGTCATTTCCCTGTCACTATGTGGGCAGGATCAAGAGTTTCACTGCTGCAGTCAAGCAAGTTTCCTTTGTTTACACAGTGTCTGTTTGTAATTGTTTTTGCTTTAACCATAATTGTAAGTAGAATTGGATTCAGTGACAATATTATTTTTAGATATGTGAAATCTGCTTTGTAATCTCAAAAATGAAATACCAGGATGTGTCAGACTTACCAGTCCAATATCTCGTACATGTAACACATGTGGAGGAAATCCACTCTCATGAACACTGCAGAAAAACAAAGTTGTGGCAGGGTACCCTATTAAAACATTGCTGCTGAATGCGTCACTGAAGGGTGGTGCATTTCTTATCCTTTTTAAGGAGAATTGTCACTGTATTTGGGGATTATGGGAAAGCAAAGAGCAGCTTTAGATGGATTTCAGGTGTTAAACTGTCTGTCTTTTTGATAGCAATCCCTTCAAACAGAAAATCAAATTTTGTAGAATTTGTGGGAAAACCCTTAGATTCATTTCTTGTCTATACAGTTTAATTCACAGAATTATGCGACATTTAAAAATGAATTGAAAATTCTCACCGCACACAAATATCCATCGGCTGTACAAGTATTTACTATAATAATAGGTCGGTAATAAGAATACAGAACATGAAGTACCTTCAGTGTTAATTCTGTTTATACCATTGTATTTTTCTTTTCTGGGGGTATCATATTTTTATGTTAAAAAAACGCAAACAATCCAGACAGTTTTTATTGGCCTTTTTAGTTGGCAATCACATCCAGGTGTCACAACCAGAAAACTTTGTCCATCCTAGAACTTCCACTGGGGCTTCTTATATCACAAAAAGCATTCAAGTATTAAGCAACATAACTATGGCCCTTTTTCAAATATCAGAGGTGCTGAATGGTTACAATATTTAAAGGACATAACAACATAATGATGGCCCTTTTTTAAATATAAGAAGTGCTGAATAGTTACAATATTTATAAGACATAACAAAAAATACATGCCCTCGATCAATATTCTTGTGGGATTGAGGTTTTATTTCATATGTGATTGTGTTGCCTGTGAAGTACACAACAAGAATACATTCCTTTCTCTGACTGGTATATTATGGGTAATATGTGGATAACTAATGATACAAGTACCATATGATGATTAATGAAAAGGACGTTATGATATTATATAAACTTACAAAGAGTTTTTACTTTTATAACATTTGCACATATTATTATAAATGTAATAATATTTTTAATATCTCAAGTCTTTTATTTTGAGACTTTTGCCTTTTATTTTCTTTTAGGAATGGTTGCAGGTGTTGATACTGAATGCACTGCCGTCTTTAGTATGCAAGGTGTCACAGGCAATATAAGTTTCATGCAGTCTGCACAGAGTGGAACAGTCTCCATTGTTGCTCATTTGAATGGATTAAAAACAGGAAAAGAATATGGCTGGGAGGTTCGCCAATTTCCCACTAACTTTGACATTGCCAATAGGTGCTCAGATTTAGACATCGGTAACATGTAAGTAAAGAGTAATTTGATGGCCAAATATATTTTGCCTCTTTTTTTTTTTTTTTTAATTTCATATATTTTACTTAAAGCAATAATAACTCTTCGTTTTGGCCAAAAAATGAATTTTCCTGGAGTCAACAACAATTTTCCCACACTTACCAATAGTTAATGAATCTATTTTTATATTCAAAGTTAGTCCCTGGTTTTTTTTCAAAAAGTTTGGTTTTTAGTTAAAATCTCTTAAGAGATTTTACCACAGTATAGCCATCAATGGAGGTCACGTGATCTGAAGACAAGCTCAGATATCAGAATAATAGATATAACGGCTGTTTTCATCGTAAAACAGAATATATTATATTTCTATGAGTTATTTACAATGTTTTTATTGTGAAATATAGATTTCGTACGAAGAGTTATTATCCCTTTAAGAACAATTTTAAAAGCAATATTACTCTTTGTCACATTCCTGTTTCTTATTCATGTTGTTTCACAAATCTTTCTTCTTCTTTGCCTTATGACAGTCTTAACCTTTCACAATTTATATATTGATGTCCTAAAGGCTACATATTGTCTGGATGTAGTCTGATAAGTTAGCTGCCCAGTAGAAGAAAATCTGCAGCCGTATATTAACACTGAAAAATGGAGACAGACAGGGGTTTGAAAATAATATGATCCCACTAAAATTATTAGTGTTGGAACCCCTTAAGTGTCTTAAAAACAGTGCAAACACTCCCCCCTATGCAACCTGTTAATAAGTGACAGGTTAAGTGTGGGCTAGCTGACATAAATGACCACAGTTGAGCATTTAAACAGTTTAAATCCTGGTCACCTGGATTAACAAGGACAGAAATTGATATTGTATTTGGCATGTCTCACACCTACTTTACAATTAGATAGCACAATGGTTTCATTGAATTTTTATTTGTGAAGGATGATATTGTTGATGATATTGTTTTGTCATGTCTCACACCTGTTTTGCAATTAGGTACTAAGTTATTTTATTAGATTTACTTGGCATGGAAATCACAGAAGTGCCAACAGATTCTAAGCTTGTATAAAGTCTAACGCACACCAGCTGTGAAAGGTAAACCCTGTCATTTGTCACCAAACTGATGTCTGCAGCATGATGTCTCCTAGCTGTTTCGTACCTGTCTGTGAAATTTAATCTTTATGACACATCTTTCCAAAGTGTGCATGTATACCATGAAGAGACTATACTCGAGCAGATAACATCAAATCAGAAAAGTTGTCTCAGGGTGTTGTTAAGTCCATCAGATGTGAACTTTTAAAGATAACTTTTGAGGGCTTAAGAGTGACGAATTAAATTATGGGGATAGAAGTCAGAGACCCCTCTATCTAAATGGACATCTTACATGGTGGTTGAGCACTACAAAACTATCATTGTGTATCAGTTGGCCAGTCTATTAGATAATGCCAAAAAGCCAGTGATAAATACATTGCCACATTACCCCATTCCTTTCATGCTGCATGCTAGTATTATAAATGCCCAGAGCCCATGTACGTTTGGAAAGAAACATTCTGCATGGGTGCTGACAGGGGGTTAAAAATCATGTATATCTATTATTTCCTTGGTCAGTGTGTACTTACTAGAGATGAAAAGAGGGAAAAGTAGAGGCAGGCTGACAGTTAACAGGACAGTATTTGTATGAAAAGCTATAAATTAGATCATACATGTATGATGGATCCCAGCCTTAACAAAGCCCCCACAGATCTAAGGTTGTTCATGGTAAATAAAAAAATCTGTTTACCACAAGAAAATTCATTAAGCATATGAGTTTTTCACAGGAAAATGTTAAACTGCTCAGTGGTCTTATATTTAACTCGTTACAAATTTTGTTGTTGGTATAGAGCAAAAACAGATTATTACTCACCTTTTTCTCCTGTATTTTTATAACTATATAATTATAGTTTAACATGCAAACAACACAGTAAATGATGTGTATTTAACAACTTTGCTATATCATATATTTGAGTCAATAAAGATTTAGTGTTTTTAGAATAAAAAGGATGAGACAGATAATAGGAAGGCTAAGTCAGATGGAAAGGTAGTTTTAGTACACGGGGAGTCTTTGATATGGATGACAAATCAGAAGAACTCCTCTTCCATGCGATAAATTGATCAAGAAGATAAAGAAGTCACATTTCTGAAAACAGCCTGATGTTTTGAAATGCCTCCTTTAAAAATATATATATGCTTGACTTGGGTTGCAATGTGTCAGTTTCATTTCAAGAATCTAAGGAATTTTTATTCTGAAAGTTTAGTGGCCTGAAACTTCATTGACCCAAAGGCTTATTTTAAGGTTACTTAGGTGGTATGATAACAATAATGATTGTCTGTTGAAGTCGTCAAGATTTGATATTTGTACCCTCAAAATTCATTGTCATATCTTCATACCAGTGCACAGTGACACTAATTTACCAACATTCAAACTAATGAATCCTTTGACTACAAGCTTTCAGATAAATAAACTTCAGAACAGTTATTAAAAATCTGTAGCAATTTTCCATATTTTTCAAACCAATGAACCTCTAGACTAAGAACCATTTTTAGACAAGCTGTTGGGTTGCACTTTTAGATTCAACTACATATTTCACTAAGCCTTGCATCCCATTCTGCAAACATGCAATCTGAGAATGTTATTGATTTTTTAGATAATATGGTGCAGTGATGATTTCTATTGTAAATCACTAATATTTTAATTGATCATTTAATCAGTTGTTATTGGTAAGATTTTCAATACTGCTCCATTTTTATAGTTCTTTTGTATCTTTGATTTTTGAATTTATTTTATGAATTTTACAAGTGTTTATTATTGATATTTATTGATTTCGTTATTGCCTTATTTTTAAGTTATTAATGAATTTATTTTATCATTTTTATAAGTGTTTACTTTTTATATTTATTGATCTTATTATTACCTTCATTTTTTCGAAGTGTTACTACTAGGATTCATTTATTTGTCTGTTTAACACATTCCATGATCTTTCTCACAAGCCACTCTTTAGCATATTTTAATTTACATAGGGCAGGCATGCACTTGATGTTAGACATCTGTTTCAATTACAAAAACAATGCACTAATCTAATTTACAATTCAGCCCATAGAATACTGATCAAAGGAACACTTAATCTTAGGACATTTTATTCTGTCCTGGGTACAGTAACTGATATGGGTGGTGGACTAGGAGCAAAGTGACTATTATTGTGTATCTAAATAGTGAAATGGCTTAGGTAACCTGGCATTTAACCTGTAAGTGGATCTTGGCCTTTTGTATCATAACTACTCATAAACCAATTATGTGTTATATGATCTGGATATAATTGTGATAATTTGATCTCTTGTGAGTACTGCTGCACTCTCATATACTATATACTAGATGGTATTGGGATAATAATACATATCATAGCTAGGTATTTTCTTTGATGGTTTTCATGCTTTGGTTTCAACACCTATATTTTGTTACTTGTAGTTTTGGTATTACTCAATATTTAATGGATGCTCAAGGCTGTGCCTTTTACAGTTGTCAGTCAACTTCAATGAATCCTTATATACACCAATGCCTATGAAATGTGATATGAAATTATGCACCTTGACAGTGGAATTTTGTAAAAAAAAATGTCTTCCTTTTACATGTTACAAAATTAAATAGAAGTTAACTGAGCACGAAGCATTCCCGATTCCTTAATATTAAATTAATATAGCACAAAACTTTGGAGGGTTTAGAGGAAAGTTTACCACTAAATGTGTATCAGTATATTTTTGAAATTAAAACCTTTTGGATATTAAACCATTCATCTTAATGCAAATACCATATATGATTTGTGATGATGATTGCGTAAAACATCACATTACTAATTCCTTAGGCTGCCAAATGGTGGAAACCTCAGTGATAGCCATGGTTTCTTGACTCCATCAAACCAAGCATCTGCCAGCTACAGTGACAGTAGTCTACACCTCTTTGGAAAGGACAGCATAACAGGTAGATATAAAATCATATACTGATTTTATGTATTGAAACAGAAAGCAGGAACTGTCAAATTTATAATAAGGTTATTTAATTTAATTTTATTTATTTAATTATTTATTTTTATTATTATTATTTATTTTATTTATTTTTTTTTTTTTGAGAATTCTTTTCACCATTTGATTAATGTTTGCAATAATTGATTAAAATGTCTTGGTGTATGAACCCAGGTGTTGCCTTTGAAGTTGATATTGTACATGTATATATATTCTAGGTCGCACCCTTCGTCTGAGTGCCACTGACGGAACCCACACAGTCTGTGCTACAATACAGCCCACTGGTATTGTGAAGACAGTCATGGTCAGACTGCCAGGACCAGTGGGAGGCACAATTTACTTCCGTGAAGATACAAGCAACACTAGAGCAGGCGTCGCCATCTATGCTGATCTATTTTTCACCGATTCCACATCAGCACCGAGCACAGCATCATACCTAAAGATTCACTCCAATGCAGTTGCTGCTGACTTGACAGAGAGTAAATCCATGAGTGAACGCTGTGCTGCTCTAGGTGATGTGTACAATCCTGGTGGGGTAACTGGGACCTGCAGTTCATCAGACCACAGCTCTTGCATGGCCGGTGATTTGCAGGGGAAGTTTGGAACTGTTGGTATTGGACTGACCAAGTCCAGTCAGAAGACATTTGTCACTGACACCAATCTTGCTCTCTCAGGTTCTAGTTCTGTCATTGGAAAGTCCCTGGCTGTGTACTCTGCAAGTGATGCAATTATTGCCTGTGCCAATATTGTTGAGGTTGTCCCAAAGAATGTCTCTGCAACATTTAGCATGAGTGGAATGAAAGGGTCTGTGCGGTTCATGCAAAATTCTCCATTGGACCCAACAACAGTGACTGTCAACTTCCAGAACCTTCAGAATCTGGCTGGTGGTTGGCACGTCCATGCATATCCATTAGTTCCTAAAATGTTTGCTGATGATTTCCAGTGTAGTGGCAAGGATGTAGGCGGACATTGGAATCCCTTTGGTATAGATCCAAGTACAAGCCCAAGTGCAGGAACTGGTACCAATGATGAATACGAGGTTGGAGACCTTAGTGGGAAATATGGATCACTGGCCAACATGGCATCTCTGATGGCTGCTGTCTACATTGACTATAACCTGCCCCTCTTTGGCCCCAATAGTATTATTGGGAGATCAATTGTCATACATGAAAATATGCCAGGTTCACCAAGGTGGGTGTGTGCCAATATTGACTATCCTGCAGAAACTATAACAGCCAAAGTAACATTCAAGTACCCAGTTATTGGAGAAATAATTATGCGCCAAGAAAAGAATAAGCCACTCACAGATACAAGCATTTTTGCCAAGCTTGGTTATGCAAATGGGATGACTGGAAGCTCTGGGCACAATTTTCATGTGCATCAAACAAAAGTGAGTGAAGATTTTATGGCTGACACAGGACGTTGCATGTCTGCTAAGGCACATTTTAATCCATATGACAGTTACATGCAGGGCAATTATGCCACTGAGTGTTCAGAGAACAATCCACTGCGATGCGAACTTGGTGATCTGTCTGGAAAACACACCACACTGAGCATTGGGGATTCCTCGGGAGGTTTTACTCATGCGTTCTTTACTGACATTCTCCTCCCTCTATCAGGTCCACATTCTGTGATTGGTCTGTCAGTGGTGATACATGTTGGCGCAGGAAGATTAGCGTGTGGTGATATATATGAAGTCAAGCCCATGGTGGCTGAGGTCACATCATGGAGTGCAGGAGGGCCAACTGGAACATTCACTTTCACTCAGAACTCCATGTTTGATATGACTGAGGTTTCTATCAACATGGCCAACCTTGGAGCCAATGCAGGAGGGTACCATGTACACGTGCTTCCAGTGCCAGATGGCATGAACAGCCCATGTTCTAGTAAAGGGGTACAGGGGCATTTCAACCCCTATAACATTACTGTGGCTAACAGTCCTGCTGCAGGAACAGGAACAAATGATGAGTATGAGGTTGGTGACATGAGTGGAAAGTATGGTATGATGAATACCATGAATTCCATGGCAATGGTGAAGGAAGACAATAACTTGCCACTTTTTGGACCACAAAGTATCGTTGGACGGTCAATTGTTATTCATAAAAGTGACAGCTCGGGCTCTCGCTGGGTATGTGGAAATATAACTGCTAAGACAGGGACCAAAGTGGTAGCCATTGCTACCTTTGATGCTGGGGTACTTCACGGGTATATAAAGATGGTAAGTTGAAAGGTTATATTATGTGGAAATTTGTATAGATTCTTTTCATATAACAAAGAAAGCCTAGTGCTTCATTTTAATGCTTTATCACATATATGAATTAGAAAATAGTTTCCTATCTAAATCCTTGATGAAACTTTTTTTTTGTTTTTTACAGCATCAGATGACATATACAGATGGCAGTTTCAGTGACACAACAATTGAAATGGACCTGAAATATGCAAATGGCACACAGACTGTGAGTTATTGGACTTTTAACACACTAGTACATGTTATATTAATGCTGTCTTCTGTTGAATCTATTGAATTCTTGAATTCCACAAATATCAGTGGGACTTGCAAATTTGTGAATTGCACTGTATTAACTATCATGCTAGCTAAATTTTAGCAGGGTTACCTTTGAATTAGGGATTATTTTGAATTATGTTTATCTTATTTATTTATTTTTTTATTTTTTGTTTTTCAGACAAATGATCATAATTGGCACGTACATGAGTCCAAAGTTGGAAGTGACGGTACAGTTGCCTTAGACAAAAGATGTAAAAGTGTAGGTCCACATTACAACCCTTACAGAGTCAACACAACTGTAAGTATTTCTATATGGGAATTTGTATGAATTATTACTTTCTTATAACAAGGATTTATTTGATAAACATTTAACATTGCAAAACTAAAATTTATTAGATAGATTTTTTTTTCAAATGAGTTGCTCTGTCATCTGAGTGATCTGCTAACAATACATTAAAATTTTTGAAATTATTTTATTCCTACACTTTTCTGGGTTAAAGAACGATTTTGTCTGAAGCCAAATGGTTGTTTTTCGTTGTTCAATTGTTTGCATATAAAACTGTTGTTAGTTCATCTGTCCAGATAGATTGATGAAAAACAATGTTTAATTCTGAAGACTGGGTTAAAGTTACAAATTTAAAGTACTACAAACATTTTGCTACACAGACAACTCAGTAATCACTACTTGAGACATCATATTGTGATAATATACTTAAACAGGGAAGTTACAGTAGTGACTGCAGTTTTTCCAACCCACTGCGCTGTGAGATGGGAGACATATCCGGAAAGCAGGGACAGTATGATATAGGCAGTGGAAGGGTGCTGTTCAATGATATTGACCTTCCTCTACATGGAAAATTTTCAGGTAGGAGCTGCTGCTTTGTGTGGCCTGCAAATTGAATTGTTTTCCCCTAGTCATTCTTATGGAAGAGATACGCCATGACTCTGCAAGGTGTATGGTATAAACATGACTGTGAAGCAAAAGTGAATGTCATATTCACCTTAGCTTGCTGATTTGCATCATGACAGATGTTCAGAACCTGAGATATGGATGTGGTATCTGACATTCATGCATGGCATGCAGATATGTGTGTGTATGCAAGATACACAAGGTCTGTGCCTTTTGTACTTGGCATCGGTTTTCAATTTTGATTTTAAAAAATTCACCATAAATATGCATTCTCCTGATGCATCCCTAAAACTATGTAGTATTACATTTACCATCCTTTCTCAAATAATAAATCCTGGATAATTTTTTCGAAGCAATGATTATTACACTGTTACAATAATCAATGTTATTATTTCCCCAGTAATTGGCAGATCTATAACCGTCCATACAGAGAATGGAGGTGGTGGCAGGTTAGCATGTGCTGACATTGTAGAAGTGAAAGCACCTACACCAAGTCCAAACACTGATAACACAGGTGAGACAAACAGCAAGCTTCAATACAATAAGTTTTGTTGAATATGTAAAATGAAGCCCCTTAATTTAAAGACAGCTGTTGTGCTTATCACACAGCAACATTGATTTCAATAAGTTTATCATGAAGTTATGTGTAAGGGTTTGGTGTGTGCTAAAATAAGGTGGGTGTGAAAACATTTAAATAAGGTTTTTAAATGCAACTGTATCCCTGGTGCAAAATCTTCATCTTTGGTCTGTTAAAAATTAAGTAGGTCTGTGGTCCTTTCTTCTACTTATCAAGAGCCTATTTAATGTGCAATTTTTAATGTGCAATTTATTGATGTCAAGAAAGTTGACATTGAAATTGTACAATTAGGTACATATTCTGTCATATTTTAACATGCAATTTGTTATTAGTTTCAGGAGCAGTGACTTATAAATGGAACTTGGCAGTGATGTTGTTGTGTTTGGTTGTGATGTGCTGGAACATCTAATGCAATGCAGACATGACTAGGAGCACAACACAATGGGACTGTATTTTAATCTGAGAATTTCAAGGTTTTGAAATTGATGGATGTTGTTTCACTGATATATGATCTTTTGTAAAAACATACTACATAGATATATCAGAGATTTCCAAAGAACATAAAATACCATATTAACATCATAGACCAGAGACTTTTTTTAACATATTCATGTTTAAGAACATAGAATAATATTTTACTATTGGTGCTGTTTTTAGGTATTTCCCACCTATGTAGTGCATTGTTTGAGGCAAATGTCCTCAGAGAGATTTAAAGCCCATTTTTAGGCTGTTGTATTGTTAATACATTAGAAATATGGTTTATTCATTTTAAATTGGGTTTTACGCTGTTATTATTGTCTACGCACAATGTATTCTTGTAACCAGGCATGATTTCCATTGAATGACTTTTCTGTGGTTTGAGTTCAAGAGCTGGGTAATCATTGCCAAGTGATTAAACTCTAAGCTGCCTTAACCACACTTCACCCCATTACAACCACAATAAAGACGTTGGCTCCGTTTTGTGAACAAATTTGTCATACCCTGGGGAAAATAAGTTCCAAATCCTTATTTGGACATTATGGCATTGTTTTGCTCAATAAGAATGTTGAAATGTGCAGGTTTCATTTTTTTAAATATACATATTACTGTATTTATATTTTTGCTCAGTACTTTTACCACACAACGTCTTGAGTTGAACAAAAAATGAATTAGCACAATCCTGATTTATCTTTAAGTTTGATTAAAGCTGAAAAAAAAATGCTGGGGGATAATTGTGTTTGGAAAGGGAGGCCCAGTAAAGCACTTTTTAGGATTGTTCTTATGTGAAGTATATATTGGGACTAGACAGCTTGATTGATAAATTTAAGACTTGATCATCTATGGCATTGTTGTACTTGTATAGTTTCTTTTCATGCAGTCACACGCAACACTTGGCAGTGTTGCCAATATGTGTTTAATAGGGTAGGAGTCGCTGTCTAGTCCCAGACAAAGCTGTAAGTGATACCGATTCTGAATTCACCTGTGGAAATGTGCGTATGTCTCCATAGATATTTGTGCAGCAATAAACTGTTCAGCCATGTAGTACTCAGGAATGGTTGTCTGTCTGATATATCCTGTTGTGCTCAGTTTTTGAGAATCCTTGTTATTATTTTAGAATGAAAGGTTTTAATGCTCCTAAGATTTACCTAATTGCCACGTAGGTTGTGAAAGTGGAATATGCCAACATTTTGCCATTGAAAAGGCTTGAGTAAATCTTACACATTTCAATTCCATATTTTTATTGGTGGAAGTGTAATGTATAGATGTTTAATATATAGCTGGAAATTATAAGTTGTGTATGTATATATTGTCAATTATTCTTTTGTATATATTATAAACAGGATTTTATGTAAAACACTGGAACTAATACCAGTAACTATGCAATTAGCTGGACAACTTCTCTGAATTGTTTTGATATACAGAGCATGGTTTACTTTGCATTTCTGATGTTTATGTAAAAGAAATACAATTGGTGTATAAATCACAAAATGTTCAAATCATTGTCTTGACTTTTTTTTAATGTGTCATTCCGAACTGATACGCAAGAAAACTTATAAGGTTTGTTTTATTATATTTAGGAGATATTATGTGAAAGTATCGAATGCACTGAAACACTTGTTAGCTTGTTTTGTGCATATTTCCTGACATTTATTTCGCCTTCTCAATATTTTCTTGACATTTCGCTGCAGTTTATCCGATGGGTGCGATGACCTTTCATCATGGCTGTTTTGATAAAAGTGTATCTGTCTTAACGAGCCATAATGCGCGATATTATTTTTAAGAACCACTTCAAACGTTGTGACGAGCGTAATGAAGAATAATAGCTGTGGGAATAGTTTGTCACTTAACCAAATAACTCGTCGCTGAGAAAGCAGTGTGCTTTGGAAGGATATTGCTGATTAAAATGTATGCTTTTTTTCACAGAGGTCTTTTTTTTATAGAGCGTCTTTGATGAGTTTGTACACAACGCTCGGTTTATTTAGAGCTTCCTCATTCTTTTCAACAATTACTGTAACCAGTCTATTGAATACATAATTTGCGTTTTTTTTGCGCAAGGTCCGTGTTTTAATTAAAGTGCATCTCGGGGCAAATTATTCCAGTCTCTGTTATTTAAGTCCAGGCCTAGTTACTTATTTCAGGCTACTTGGAGGCGGGACAGTTGGTAACCTTTCTTCGCCTGCTCCCACTTTCATATTTTACAGTTCAAACGCTTGTCAGGAATTGTTGACTACTTCTGGGCTCGACCGCACTTCGTCTCCTCATTATCGCATAGAATTCTAACTCTTGTCCAAGTTAACCTCGCCGAGATGTACATACAGTCCAGTCTGTCTACTGTAATGGATTTCCTTTGCGACATTTCCTTTAATTAGGAAAATTAAACATACACTGGCACCGTTGCTCCTGATGTCTGCCTAGAAACCTTTCTTAATTACGGTAACTACCTGACAATGGTCTAGACTCCTGTCTGTATATTTGATGGGGCATTTCATCAGGTGTGTTGAAAATCGCTTTTTTTATCGGTGACCTTAGCTAAATTGTCAATACAAAGGTGAATCCAGGGTAGGGAGAAATGACGGGTACGTGCCCCCCCCCGCCAACTTCTGAGGTACTCCCTTATCCCCTTACCCCACCCCCCACCCCCTCACACAAAAATACTATATATAATTTTAAAAAATCGGGTAAAAAGAGCGAAACTGATGCATTACTTTCATTTGTGTGCCCAACACATGAGAGTTTAAATGTCCTTGTCGACTGCTTGATATTTGAAGAGCGAATCAAATTATTTTTTAATCATTGTGCCCCCCCCCCCTCCATTGGATCCGCCAGTGTTATATAACAATTTATGACCCAACCCAGAGAGCCAGACAAACCAGGCCCGAAAGATGTGGTGTTCTGGAGGATTCGTGCCGAGCACCCTTTTGTCTCTGACTAAAAAAATTGATTCTATACCATTATGTCAAAAAAGGTCTACCTTTCACAAAATGAAACGCCACATTAGGTACAGTCCTTCATATCGCGTCAAAGACAACATGAACATATTTTTCGATGATATTTTCCTTTTGTGAGAGAAATGACACTTTCAAGACTATTCCTTGCGATTTACCGGTTATAACTTGCTGCCATAACGGTCTATCAAGTCATTATTGAGTTTAAATCGATTTGCTTCATTGCGGATTTAATCAACAGCACGATGATTATCGCTCAAATCTTTGTCTATTTTATGAATTATTTCCGACAAAAGTGTTTTCACAATTGATTTCTCGGAATCAGGATTCCCGAAATTCTCATAGCCTACAGTAATTAGCCCTCGTGCGTCATTTCTTGCGTGAACGTGTATCATCATGCACTGATTGATGGAAAGCGGTGGGATAGAACAAGGGAAACGATCTCTATTAATAATGTTTATTTCACCAGTTCAAACGAAATTATTCATCAATATTTACATCTTCTGTACAACACTGCCATAAATAACCTAAGCAAACTGCTTGGAAAAAATATGTTCTCTTAATATTTACATATAGCAATTCATCATTTCACCTTTACAGTGTTTTAACAGTAAAAGTTCTGTGAAATGCACCTAGATAAGAAACAAGAGTCAATTATTCTCATCTTGGTTCAAAGGACTGAAGTCTTAGTAAGAACAAAACAGCAGTTGCTGCTTTGATATTGTTATAATAAATTAAACGCGGTTGTCTAAATTAAGAATGCAATAATCAGCAACTTCTCGCAACAAACCCAACCCCTATTCATTCATCAATTAAGCCTTCTGCAGTTTCCTATGAGATCGGACTGATTGCTGTACAACAGCATGCAGTAGAACCAGCTACTGTATAATATTCCACAATTACTTTAAGGTTTCTCATGAATGACCCGTGTCGAAAAGTCACGGTCTGAAAAAACAACGGCCTTCTGTTGGAACTTGCCATATCCTAAGTGCGTGGAACTTACACACGAATCTCTTTCGATGCGGGTCATTAATGGCCGTTTTCTGCGTGTCGTCTCCTTCAACGAATCCGATTCTAATGGGCTTAGAGTCCAAACCCCTTGAACCTGAAGTGATTCCACTTACAAGTACGCATGCTGCCACATGTCTCTTCCTCTTTCAGAATTGGGCAGGTGTGACCACCATTTTGGCGCTCCTGGACGACTACCCTGTGACGCGTGCGTTTTCCAAAGCCGCAGGTCTTACTACAGCCGCTCCAGGCACCCCAGTCAGACACAATACAATCCAGAGGAGTAACTGTAAAGATAAGCCAATGCATCCTTGTTATTTTCTATTTTCAATCATTTTTTGAAAATAAAAATTTAATAAGATTAAAAGTGACAGAGTGACAGAGAAATATCCACGTGATAATATTTTTTACTTAAAATGTTTCATTTTGCTATGATAGATCTTCCAATTAAACCCAGTCTGAGACCAAACAGCGTGCACTAATTTTTTTTTAATTTGCTTTGAGATAAATACGTACACTGAGATTTGTCAGCATCCATTGCGTCTAAGTCGTTGCCATGGCTCTCATCCTCATGCTCTTCGTCCTCCACATCATCATCATAATAGTCAACACTGTCGTCAACATTTCCACCTGCGTTATCCTCATCCATTGCATCTTTTGCCACTTCCCCATCATCGTACACACGGACTCTTTTGAAGATGAGATGGCCAATGTGAGGTAGTTTCGCCAAACGGGGATAGAAGAATGGATTGGCCGGGTGGTTTGGGTACTTTGAGGTGATGCGGAAGATCTTCTCGTTTTCTGGCCAGTCCGGGGAGGTAAAGGTAAACCCCCTATCAACACCGGCGTCCATCGGGTCCAGGTCCACTTTCACGTCGGTGATCCACTCTCCGTTCTGGCACAGATTTATGCTGTCGACTCCAACGAACCAATCCGGGCTTGGGATCAGTTTCGCCATTGCGGAGACCTGAATGCAAAATAAGTCATTTTAGTCCGAAATAAATTTTCTTATAGTGATAAAAATCACAATTAATTTTCGACAGTAACATCGCAATTTTCAAGCTTTTTAAAATGGGATAACCATCACTTGCATTCCCTGATAGTTGTTTTTTTATTATGAACATCTGTCTTGAGGCATTATTGCAAGGAATTGTTATACATCCTGTGATTTATATGGTTAAATCATCAACAAATATTCAAACAACATCAATTGCAGATTCCTTAGTTGCCAGAGTGGTGCACGTTCACTCTGTGTTGTGTTGGAGCATGTTGGTGGGAACAGATTGAGAAACTTTTTAAGCATATGGCCGTAGACAAAACTTTTCTACTTTCCGTAAATCAGAAATTTCAACATGGAATTTCGCTTTACGGCACGTGTTCCGTGTGTGGCAACGACAGGCTAGGGCAGTCAGTTAAGAGTTGCTATGACGGCATGTTGTAGAATGTTTGACTTTCCAAACAAAAAAAATGGCATGACGGGAATGTTTGATGTTTCGAGCATGAGAACGATTTGACGTAACAACTTAAATCAAAAATTCAGACCCTGTCCATCTGCTTGGAAAGAATTCCAACAGCGAACATCAATCCCATTTGAAACAACAAACGGTCTCAATGGCATGTAAAGAAACCATAACATTATGTTATCACTTGTCTCTAACCGGGGCCGTATATCGCAGCAATTTTCTTAAAATTAGCCTCCCCCTTCACCCCCTCCCCCCTTTGCCACCTCTCCAACAATACCATATTAATGTTTTCTCAAATATATGAATCCCACTCGTTCGTTTTATGTGAACAAAGAGAGCAATTCAACCAGTTAATTTTGCAGCCAAAAAGAACGATAAACATAAAGCAACAACGTTTAGTTCGGAAATTACGTTGCAATTTCGCAGACGACATTCGCCTGTTGGATGGTTATGGTTCACTCGTTTAAGTTGTAAGTTTTCAAAACGGACGTTTCAGCGACGTTTCATGCCGTCACAACTTAGACATCGGAAAACAAGCTTTTCAGAAGTGCTAACATGAGTCATTGAACTCGGGTTTCGTCGAACATGGTTTTCAGCATTACTTATACTTCTCATGTTTTCGACCAGGGCTGGACCAGGTTAGGACTTTAACAATGCACATGCCGTCTGCAAAGGCTCAAATGATGTGAAATTATAAAGCGTTTGTACAGAGCGCTGACTCAGCTAATACGCCCTTCTGCATACGTTCATTATGACGTGCCGCTGCGCAATTCAGATTCACACACGAAACAGGTTTCCCTTTCATAAATGCAATATTTTGGATAGCAAATTAGATTAAAACATCCCAATTGTTCTTTAATGAACGCCCATAATATACCTCCCAACTGACTTCTGGAAACCATCGGTCTAGGGTTAAGTCAAGCTGGTTTAATTAGTGAATGCACAGACGGCTAGGTGTGTGTGCGTCATCTGTGTTCATGGTAACTGCTTTATTGTTGAATGATTTTGCTTTAAATTACCTTAGGATGCATTGGATCTGCGTAAAACTTTGTAACAGAGATGCCGTGTCCCTTTTGGATTCTTGGTCCATTGAACACATCAAAGATCCCGTTGAATCCCTGTGCTTCTTGGTCAAACTGCATGGTGCGGCCCGTCTTTGCGAACTCTTTGACAGCTTTGCTAGCATATTTTCCTTGTGTCCAGAGAGAGTATTTTGAGTCATGGCTGCGACCTGTAAATAGGGAAACTTTGAGAACAACCTTCGAAAGAAAAAAAATCTAAAGAAGAAAATGATGGTTAAAAAGAGGGAAATGTACTTAAAGAGGCAGATAACTGCTGCCAGACGAAAATTTAACAACATTCCAAGAGCATCTGTTACAACATCAATAAACGCTTAATACCCATCAACAGTGCACATATTACATTACTCGGTTATTTTGCCCACATGATTGATCGGTCTTTTTTTCTACTTTCCACTCGCTTGCAGGAATCAGCGAGCAGTTGAACGAGTTCAAGAGTTATGGAAAACCAATATAGTCGACTAACAGGTATTACAGGTGTGACGGATTATACAACTGCTGCCGTTGTTCTATCCTTAGCCTCCAGGCTACATTAAGAGGACTGCTGGTAAAAAATTAGGCACCAACAGCAGATATCAATTTATTTCCTTTACACTTGCGGCACATGACAATACAACATTGTTAACAGTACTCTGTGTACAAAGTAATAGTTTTTTTTCACCAACAGCATCCACGTTCTTTGGCAATGCGCTTTGATGATCGGAATTAGGTAATGCGTAGGTCTATACAATAATTTCAATGAGCAAATTTGGAAAAGAGATAACGAACTATACGCTGACATGTCTACCTTTCAGACCAATTGTATTTAGGCAGAACTTAGTTTGCGGTTCCGGCTCCTCGTCCATTCAAAAATTTAGATTAAATTTTGCCATAAAAAGCGTCATTTTTTCTGTACTGCCTTGAGTGGAGATTGGCACAATGTTATGTGAATGGGAGGCTTTATTCCGAGCGTAACTGCGATACCGTTTTCTACCCGTATCAGCTTCTTAGTGCATATCGAGTGTCGATGTTATCTTACTCCTTTTCACCCAGCGTTTTTGTTCGGCACGACAACCGGAAAGATTTCAGTTGTAATACTACGGTCGTTTAAGCCATAAATCGTTAAACATGCCTAGAGACAATGAGCCATCAACAGCAGGAACACGACTTTCATTGACACTCGCTACACAACCGTATCGTACAATTGTTCTGTCTACCGACAAGTGTCTCACTTAACTGCCGCATGGAGAATCGTGTTACACAGTCAGAAGCTTTACAAATGTGACGTCGAAATGCTAAGTTTGCCAGGTTTTTCAACCACAAACTATTAATATACTATTAGTATTATATTCAAGCAGTGATATCACGCATCCAACTTAGATTTACAATGTAAATCTGGGCGGCAAAGCATTTCATTTTCTTTTCAAAGCCCATCTGATTTAGAAACCCATTTCAATACTTAACTATCACAAAACTTTTTCCAGCAACGAAGGTTCAGAAATTGGCGCACAGTTAGGCACCTTTTAATAAGGAACACCCTTGTAATGAAGTCTAGGAATACCATGAAACGTATATTACTTTGTCTTGCGGATATGGATAAAATTGAGCAAGGTTTCTAGATTACTACTAATATAATACGATATATATAATAATATAATAATCAGTTTATGACAAATACTCACCAATGAGTTTTGACCACTGAGCGGGAGGTCTGTAAAGTGGAAACATCTTAGGAAAAAGCTTCTTGTTCCACTTTGCCTGGAATGTTACACTGTAAACCGCTACACCTTTTGCCCTGCATTTTTCTTCTGGTGTCTTCCCTGGGGTAGGCTTTGCAAAAACTGTGAAACTCGAAATACATAGAAAAACGGCGATTGCTGCTACTGCTTGCATGTTGCGTTGCTCAGTCACTGAGGCGAAGTCTTGCTAAGAGTAGAATAAATATCGTCTAGTCTGGATCTGCTCCTTTCTCTGGGATGTTTCCAGGTTAGTATCTTTCGATCGACTGAGGTGCTTGAAGTTCTTGCTGCTTATTTATACCCTGGTAGGCCCTCATCTGTTCAGTATGATTGGATTTGTCACCTCGCACTTACTACATCATTCATCGAGCAACAAGCAGTCTGTCATACATCAAATTACGGGAACGCTGATTGGCTAGACCCGGAAGGGGCACAACCAATAGAGAAAAAAACAGCCAAGTTCGTAGTACTACAGATACATAGATTTGGAGAAGTGTAAGTTTTTCTAGTTAAGTTAGAGGGCACATTCATTTTTGCATTTGACTTTAAAACAAGATTACTTTATTGCTTCAGCAGTGCATCCATTGTCTGAAGAACATAAAACAAAGTTTATTTCACCCAAATCGCCCAAATGTTTTATTTGATGCAATTTTTTTTCTTTACTCTGTCATACGAATGTTCAATGAACGAAATTCCAAACTGCTTTTAAGCCTTTTAACGACCGACAGATTGAGTACTCTTAAAAACAGGACAAAATCTAGTTTTGGACGCAGACTTCACAAATGTTTTAAGCTCTGGTGATGTCTTTTCTAGTGCAAAAATCACTTTTACTGCGCAACTAAGCACACAATTAATGAGCATCAAAACACCCCTCAGGGTTGCTAGAAAGACAGTTATAAACGTTAACGATACAAGACAAAGAAGCTTTAGGGCTTTTTCTCCTTCTATACGTTCATTGCGAAATTTTCAAGTGACGAGATTTTTAAATCATAAAAATAAATCCCCTTTAGAAATATTATTTTCTAGGTTAGGCAGATATTCTATTTAAAACAATAAATTCACAATAGTGTAGCATTGAAAGCAATATATTCCCACTGGTTAATGTACTCTCAGACAGATAAAGAACATGGGAACGAAAAATGGGTCTGTTATGTGAGCCCTCCCAGAAATCAGCGTTTTAAGTTTAGACTGAGGTAACGGTGCGATCAAGCGTTGTTAGGGGAATATGTTCGTTTACACCCGCTTTACGTTAGCGTTGTGTATGACTAGTACTGTGTTGGGTGGTAAATGTGCGTGAAGCAGCATATATCATTTTTTGTGGTTAGTGTTTGTTGTTCGCGTCACCTAGAAAGTCTTCCGACTCAGCTGCTACTGTCATTCCAGCTTGTCCAGTTAGAACGTCACCCGGTGTGACTGGTCCGAGAATTATCAGTGAGTATATTTTAAGCCACACTATCCCTGTTTCTAAAATGACCAACACGCTGTTTCCGTATTATTGGACATAGGCCTACCTTCTCAGAACACAATGCAATAAAAATAATGTTATACTTTTATAGAATGTTCAGGGAGCGGGTTAAATCTGACCATACTTTACCGATTTAGTACGTGAGACTTACTTTTCCCACTCCTAAACTTGTAGATGGATAGATGGATTCATACACGTGACAGAGAAGGTGTCGCTCAGTTTGCCGCCCTGTTAGCTTCCGTGGAACTAATTTTGGGACAATATCCAGGGGAAAAACGTGCTCACAAAGAGAAATCATAATCGATCACTTATTTCCTTTGTTTTACAAGACATGCACAATTAAAATTTAACTTTTGTTTAACTTTGAAAATGGACATATTCGTAAGTCCCCTATTTATCATCCACCTACCTTGTCTTTTATGACTTGCGACTTACAGCATCATCCAGAAGTCATTTATTTTCTTTTTTTTTACTGAAGACCCAAAATGTCGTCTAACAGTTAATTAATTTTATTTTTACAAATAAACAATAAGTAAGGAATACGCATGACCTACGTCACAGGGACGCGACAGAACTTTCATGTGACCCGCTGCGTCTTTTCTCACGCGTTCTGATAGATAGTGTTTTGAAATATTAGAGCTTGTTAAAGTCGTTTGTTTACTAAAGTTTGATCCCCTGAGAATGATAATTTATTTTGATGCAGGCGTATTTCTGAAATCTCACAAGAAAAGTCGACAATTGACCTTTTTTCAACTTTTTCCTGATTATCCTGGGATCTAGTTAACTCTGCCATGAAGTTTTGGTAGCTCTTAAAACGAACCTCTCATTAATCAAGGAGCAAAATCCGGTCGCGCCGCCCCTAAGTTCAAAAATTCCTGGGCACAGAACAACCAGGGCCTATTTTCCTATACAGATCTTTCTGATCTGGAACGCAGAACAACTTCTTAAACTTTTTACAACTTGTCATACGAAATGAAATATTGAACTCTTCCGGGATTGTAAACTAGTTTAAATTCAACGTCAAATTCTGTAAAATTAATTTTCAGTTAACTCTGCAAGCAGGAATTCGTGGACATAAATGCTTGTCTTTTTATCTGAATGTTTACATATGCATTTTAGAGATAAAGATCGGAGAATCTTAACATAGTTTAATCACATGTGCACACATCAAATGAAAAAGTATATAGAAAACGTCACTTACGTTATTCAATGCTTCTGACATCATCAAACTAAACTAAAAAAACTTATCTATGCAGTCAATTCGGCGCGGTGTTTTTATTAAGCAGATTGAGAGCGTCTACTGAGTCGACTTCATAACGGTTTCCATCAAGAACACTAGATGATTGTAAGGCAACCCTGAGAACACACACATTGAAACAGTAGTATCGCATGATATTGCCACGACAAGTAATCAGTTGAATTTGTGTTCTCTAAGCGGTCCTTGTCTGCGACTAAGTTTGCCGTGAAAGTGACGGAAAAGTAATTTTGATACACCAATTTGTAAAACGAGTCTGTGGTCTCGTGTAAATTAAGTCCTCAATTGTTACGTACGGATGTATCTAATATGTTTTATTATTCAAAACACGTGACGAGGAAGGGTTCAGGAAAAAACACAAATGAGTGTATGAATGTAATTTAAGCCAAACCATATATACAAGAGGCCTATTTCTTAACTTTATGAAACCGAGAAAAGAAGTCGCTTAGACTTAATTAATCGATACAAGGCAATTTAAAGATAAGAAATCAGTTTAATCCATCTTGTTTATTTAATCAATGGGATAACATCCAATTGTAAGCTACGTTACTCGGATGGGCGTGTTCAAAGAACGTTTGTTTTCTGATCAGATAATGGGTCAACGTGACTTAGAAACGGCCCTTCTTGAAAAAGAAGAAAAAGATTCTAAGAAAAAGATCAAATGAATTATTCTGAAGTCTCTCTCTCTCTCTCTCTCTCTCTCTCTCTCTCTCTCTCTCTTATGTGCACAAATTTTATGTACAATAAAACTACCCTCTACCAGGCCCACAGATTGATTTTTCGCTAGATATTAAGAGATATGTCTCTGGTTAAATAGATGGCTAATCTCTGTACTGTCAAAAATGTCCACAGAATAATAACTGCGGCCCTGGTAGAGGGAAGTAGAGGGTAGGGTCCTACTATATAAAACCACAACCGGACACTCCATTAGAAGATTTCGGATGTTGCTATACATGTATACATGTACCTAAGCGTGTTAAATATCGAGAGCACCACGAGGGAAATAGAATACTAAATTGATTCTGTATCAGGGCATAAAAATCTTGGCAAAAGCAGCCCAAGTCCGGTGGCCAAAGGACATATGAAATGTTCGTAGTATCATCATGTTTTTCTTTGACTCGAATTCTTCAAATGGTTAGATGGTATCATGATCGACAGAGGAACTTTACAATTCATTCAATACACTGTGTTAACCCGATAAGTTCACAATCATTTTAAAGGTGAGCTAAATATAGTGCAAAGTCACATAAAACACGATTTGTTATCGAGACTAGAGTGCAAAATCCGTCAATACGAACACTCGTAAATCTGTGTCAGCAACAATGGGTGAAAGATAATGGACCACTGTTCTTGGGTGTCTGTTTCATTTTTGTCAGCTTCCAAAAGTGATTGGCGTGAAGTGACCTTGTAGTTTTTGTACTTTAAAAAAGGGTCAAACACACGTGTTGATTGGAACAATAGAGATATTAATCTCATCTGATATATTGAGAAAATTTAACCAGAAGTCAAGTTTCTCACACAATGCGTTCTATAAATCAAATTTGGATATTCGAGACGAGTGTGAAATCCTTCAGATAAGGCTTTTCACTAAAAACCTCGTGTACACTTGATTGGATTCAGACAAGTAACATGGCATCGCAGATCGATGCTTATGTTTGGGAATTTCAGCCTGTATTGATAATGGGGCGGGTAAAGTAGAACCATAAATAAGTGATCAATCCTGGTATTCTAATACCAGTTAAAACCGCATAATTTGACCATCAATGTGGCCACCTGTCCAATTTCGAGAAGCCCTATTAATAACTGGAACTTCGCAGTAAGGCCTGAGACTCATGCCTGTCTACACGCGAATTCAGTATGCATCATTTTTCGGGTTCTAAATCGTCGCTTTCAGCCTCTAGAGTAAGACAATACGTGCCTCCTCCCTTGCCCGGAATAAAAAAGATCGAGTTACTTGTTATTTATCAAAACTTAAGAAACGTGCTTAATGTATTGTTTTCAAGGTCTAGCACACATTTGTCAGGGTAGTTATCGAAAGCTTGTCACTCAGCCACCCGTAACACTAGTTTGCGTCAAGTGACAAGAAACAATTTCATCGGGTGTTAACAGCAAAACCAATTTACAAAAGTGGACCTGCGCAATCTGTCTCACTTTTCTTTTCTTTAACATTACGTTGCCATCTACTTTTAGTGGCTCTTACACGGTTACAAAAGAACTGTACAGAGAAGAATAATTCACAGATATTATCTTATCATTGTTAAAAGAGTTAAACTACACCAGTCCTATATCATTTATGTTCTTCAATCAAACCCTACTACTTTTATATTTAGGTGGTTAAAAGCAGATTTTTCAAAGCAGACATTATTATTTTGTAGGTAATTGTCAATGAGGTGCACCGTCTAAATGTATTCTTTCAGTAATTACAAAAAGACACAATAAAAAGTCTTGCAAAAATTAACAAAGAAATTAATTTCCTCAGATATTTTCATAGTGAAACTTCGGTATCAATATCAACGCAACGCCCTAAAGTACAGCTGTGTTTTGCTACCATCTACCAGGGTGGCAGATATTATAGGCAAATTTTCCAAAAGACATTGTAGGAAAACCACAAGCCCGTGAAAAAGGCCAGTAACCTCGGTCTGTAGTAGTAGTAATATGCTCTTGATGGGCTTCACCCAATGTCTGTCGCATCTGGACATAAAATCGCCATCCAGAAAAACGATAAAGCAAGGGTTTCCCAGCAGGTTTGAAATGGAAAGCATGTTATTTCATGCTAGAAAACAACTCAATTTTCCGGTAGGCCTATGCCCCAGAATTAAAGTCCAGGTACTCTGCAAGTTCACTCAGGTACTCATTATTACTGGGTTTTAGCGCATTATCGTTTCCATCATTATGGAAAAGATAAGTACATTGATATAATACTGCAACAAGATACTAACCCGACGTCAAACTTGCGTTATCGAATTAACCCTGTTTGATCACGTCGGAGTTGATGAAGCACATTTCCCGCTTGTTACGTCTACGGTTTCTCGAAAAAAAAAAATGTCCAATTTCCAGGTTCAGAGATGTAAAATCAATGGGGTTCTCTCCGGATTGACAAAACGGGCATTTAGGGACTTTATTTCAAAACCCATCGAACCTGCACATAAAAATTAGTTGAGAGGAATCACTGTATCACATACTATAAAACTGGAATTTTATAAGAAAGCAGAATGGATGTAAAGTTTCATTATTGCATAATACTGCGTACTGGGCACCCTTTATCAATGGCATGTTTTTTTCTCACAGTAACGGGGCCCACCTCGACGGACTCACTGCACACGAAGTAAGGGCTGGACTCTAGTAGCTACATCCAGGGGTTTTAGTGCACCACCTGGTTGAACCAAATCCTCGGAGTCGAGTGTAGGCGCACAGAATGCACGGGATAGCATACGCTGCTCTCTTTGATCTTCATTTGTAGAAATAAATGAAAACTGACGGCAAGCAGCAGATAGGGAAGGAAACAATAGTGGCTCACGTGCGCCACGGATTTTACTAAAAGGTGGTACGCATGTGTCTCAGTGTATGCTAGTAGTTAGGTTCATCATGAAAAAAGTTCATGCCGTGAATATGGAATTTCAACGCAAATTTTCTTGTAAAAAGTATCTGTCAGAAACGTTTAAAAGTTGAGGAAGGGTGCGTGTTAACGTAATTCCCTAAGCACCTTAGCAGAGCTGGTCTACCAGGTGGTTCTTACACCGCTCTGCAAAGTTTATATGGTACAGCATGGGGTTTACGAGACATCAAACACCTAACTCTGATATGCAAAATAAAAAACACGCACACTAGAGAGGAGGATTACAGAAACTGCCCTGGGAGGAAATCTTAACGAAAGCTCATTGGCGTACGAAGATATAGGAAGTCTTTTCTTGCCAAAACGACTATCATATCTGCTTACATCTCTTTTAAGTAGTTATTATTGATGACACGCTGTGTTTTCCAGTAAAAACATTGTTACACCAAGCCCCCAACCATCCTCCCCGCCATGTTCAGCCATTACAACTGCCCTTTGCGTTTGTTGCCACAGCGGCTATCATTAATATAGGGAGATCTGTGCGGGAAATAATTTGCACTTAATGCTACCTGTCTCCTATACAGGGGTAGCAATAGGCATTTCACATTTAAGTTATGCTACCCCCTCTCTTTATGCTCCCTCTTTTCTATATATTATTCCTTTCCTCTTCTCTCTGTCCTCCCCCCCCCCTTTAACAAACCCTCGACTTTTCTCCCCAACAAAGCCTCTAGCTCCCCTTTTCGTTCCTCCCCACCTGTCTCCCTTTCTCTCCTTCTCACTTCTTTTCTATCGTCCCTCTTTATTTTGATGCTGTTATTCTGCATCACCTACTGTAAGCTATCAGGTAGGTGATCTGAGTGCAAAACCTCAAAGCCATGGCTGGCAATGCGGAACATCCCCTTACTCTGCAGGACGCCACTTACACAGGCAACACACCTATTCCTAAATAACAGCCACTAACATGTAAGTGTAGAAAATACTTGAAAGAGATCATACATTTTCATATTAGCTATCCTCCCCCTCAAAGATGGTCCCTTTGAAGTGATGTAAATATTTACTAAAGAGATTAATTGAATTGTTTTTCAAGTTGTTTTATTTATTGCAACAAAAAAGGAGGATAATATAATAACAAAACCCACTAATTTAAGCTGATTTAGAAATTATTTCACAATTTTTCTAATATTTCCATAAAAAAAGCCTCTAAAAAAACACGAGGGACCTGGTAGAACGATTAGGAAATTGTTCGTATTATACCAGCTTAAAGCAGCGGTGGAATTTGAATGGACATTTGAGACTTGTGAATGATCTGGGTCGTTTTTTACAACATCTACAGACATCAAGGCCACAGAGGGCGCGCTCTGTCTGAGAAAACAAACCAAAACCATCATCATGAAACACAGCCTTCCCAGCAGGTCGATGAAATTCCAAGCAGTTAAATTTATGGTCTAAGAAATAGAAGATATTGGCTATTGCCCATTGTATATAAATAGAACATTATGTGTCGAGTTCCGTGTACTTTTCTTCACGGGTTGTATCTTTTTGAAGTAAGAAACCTCCATAACACAGTATGAAAATCAGATAATATCTCTCAGAGAAGAAAATATAGCTTGGTACTTGCAATGTTACGCAGATTGAATGTATTCTTGCCGCAGGGTCTTATCTCGGTTGGGTTCTGGAGGATATTAAAATTCCCCTTTTTTGCAGATACATTGGACGCAGTTACGTGAATAACGTAAGCAGTATGCACAACACGTTTTTATCTTTTTCCCACGTAGGTACATTTACAAAAGCAAACCCTGACGATAAGCAAACAACTTAGAATTAAAAACTAACAAATCAACAAATAAATATACACACGAACATAGATAAAGGGAATCAGCGAGCAATTGGGTGAAAAAAATCAACATTAACAGAACCCAGAAGTAAGTGGAGGTGGTACTGGGAAATCAGAAGTTGCATTCTATAACATCATCAACTCCCAAAACGCACTTTTGGATCAGAAACTTGAGATTATAGAATTAAGTTCTTATCGATCAACGAATCAAATTTGTATGCTCTTTTTCATAATGTACATAGCTACTGATACAAAACCGCTAATATCCTTGCTGTCTACATTCGGGGTTGATTAGAAAGAAGGAAAAATGATTAAAATAAAAGAAGGGTGGTAGGGAATAGCCTTTTTAAAATAATTAAAGAACAATTTACAGTGGTAAAAAGTCGATAAATTGGACATGAATTCCCACACATCATTCGTATAATGCATGTAATCTTTCCTACAGCTACATAATCAAATTCGCTTTGCTATTAGAATGAAAAAACAAAGGGTACAGTACTAATATTACGTAGGCTTTCAACTGCAGACCCTGGTACCATAAAAAGATTACTAGAGAAAGAATAAAACGTTATAAACGCTTTTTTTTTTTTTTTTTTTGCGCGTAGAGCTTACGTTCCAAGTATTTCTATACATGCACAGGCTTATCCCATTTCTATTGCGTCACTGCACAGTGGCGGATCTAGGATCTTGCTTAGGGTCACTGAAGGGTGAGGGAGGGGGGAGAGAGGATAAAACTTCTTATTTATAATTTTAATTTGTATTTTTTTGCTTGTGATACTGATTTTTTGGGGAAAAAAGGGGGATACGGCCATTGACTGCATGGCGAAATAAAGTGACATTTTAATTATTAAAAAGTCACACCGTGTGGGGTTTTGACGTACAAAATATAACTGACGAAATCTTCGGGAGTCGTGAAGAATCCTATAATAAACAGCCCTATTGCTCATAACTCTTTAGAGTTGTATACCTAAAGATGGCATGTGAGAACCTTTTAGCTTGATTTCAACTTGTAGTTTTTAGGCATGTGCACTTTATCCACTCGTTGTAAGTCATGCGAACTGTTACATGCATCTCTTGCTATTTCTTTCAACTTGATATTGTCATTTTGAGCAAAATTTCTCCTTTCATCATTTAAAAAGGGTTGCCAAATACATTGGAGATATAAGAACAGACAATTTAAGACAACTAAAACCCCATGTGAACTGCTGTCTCATTTTCTGATAGCTCACGTGACATAGGCCTATAACGTAGATCCTAGCCCTAGCATACTTTATGATATACTTTAATAGTAAAAGTGTCCTTGTTTAAAATTATTTATATCACTCAATTGTGCACTGTCTTCAAATAATAATTTAGAGGAAGAAAGTTTTTTCCTGAAGTTAGTAGCCTAAGGAGTCGGTATTAAAAGTTTCCAATGAAGGCATACTTATTAAAACTAATGGGAATGCCTTTTTCCATTTGAAAAAATATTATATGCCAAAAAAACTAATTTTTCAAAAATTAGGGTCGATAGTGCTCTCTCACTTAATTTTTCTGGGCTAACTTGCGCGCGCGCGTGTGTGGAATGGGGAGGGGGGATCATCCATGATATCAGCCTACATATCATCACGTGAGCTGCAACGCATGACAGAGACCGGAAATGCGTGAGTGGAAGTCTTCAATCAATGGAGTACGGAAATAGCGTTTGGACCTAGGAAAAACCCAGTGGGGAAAACCCAAGAAAAATGATACGGGATAAAACCGAAAAAACGAAACAGATCTTGTTCAAAATATTTTAATAATCGTAATTTTGTTGCTGCTTTATGATTTTAGTGTGAAAAATCTGAAAACTGGCCTCTTAAAGACAAAGGTAGGTGGGCAGGAATATCAATGGACCTCTTGTTTTCATCGTGATTTTGTTCGCTACGACAGCGTTTTCTGTCAGTCAGTTTTACACAAATGCTGTAGTCTTCCTATATTCTATATTATCATTGTGTTATCCTCATTAAAGTGCATGAATATAAGTTAAGTCATTCATAAAATTCGAAATGCTGTTTGAGTATCATGCAGATGGAAGACTACTGCTTTTTAATAATAATAATAATTTATTGAGCACTAAAATGTTTCAGTACATTTTACAGGCCCTCTAAACTACTTGTGTTATACGTACAAGTAATATATATCTAGACCTATTATCACACTTATGTGATATCAGGCTTACAAATGAAATTACATGTTTCATAATTACGTTATATACGTAATCTGCAGTAACAAGTGGAAATATTACTTATAAATGTGGGAAAAATAAACTATGATGAAGAAAATAATAATAATAATAATAAGATAAAAAATATCTATATTACATAATGACAATTACATTGTTCTGTATTATGGTAGACATGCTCATTATTATTGACAGGCTAGTCTTGTTTTAAAGGTTTTCTGGATGAAGTGAGACACGGTTTTTAAGCAGTGTTCACTTTGAGGATTGAGAATCCAGACAAGTTTTTCTACATCAGATGACAATTAAGGCGGTATCACTTTTACTTATGTTCACATGCTCATTACATTTTAGTAGGAAGTGCACTTCTGTTTCAACATCATTGCAATATGGACATTTTCGGTTTTCTACTGGTTTTTTGGGTTTCGTGTAACAACCTCTTTCGATTTCTAAGTCATGGTCGCTGATTCGAATTTTTGCAAGTGTTTTTATTTCATTTAGAGGGACTTTCATTGTGAGGTATTTTTCTGGAGTGTAGGATTTCTTTATTACTTTATAAGTTCTTAGTTTGCTTTTGTTGTCACTGTGCAAATCGGTCCAAAAAAGTTCTTCAATTTTTTTATTAACATGTACTTGAAGTAAGTTTGGGTCTACAGTGCTTAGATCTGTTGACAGTCCCCAGAGGTCTGTAAAAGTTTTTAGAGAGCTTGACCAGCTAGGGCCTTTTGAATGGAATTCTTTTTCATAGATTTGTTTCACAATTCTATTTGGAGCAGGTTCTTTGAAACGAATTTGGTACATGTTTAACAATATCTGTGTAGAGTGGCAGCCTTCCAAGTTCTGTCCTACTTGCATTGTTGCTTGCATATTTCCGTACACCAAGAGCCCACTTACACGTTTTTAGATGGAGCTGCTCAAAAGGCATTTTATTCATTTTTTGGAGGGAGATTTTCTTATCTCTAAATAGTTCCTCTGCCCAAACTTCACAACCATAGAGTAAGATTGGCTTGATGGTTTTATCAAAAAGTTTCATGTATAGAAGGGGAGAAGTTATTTGGTGTGAGGAAAGTGCTGTTTCCAGTGCAAAAGATGCTTTCATTGCATTTTGTTTCAGGTTTTCAATTGCTTTTTTTAAAGACCCCGTATTTGTGAAGGTTATGCCTAAGTATGTGAAATTCTTCACATGTTGAAGTTCTATGACTTTGTTATTTATATAGAAGTTAATATTTTTGTCCAGTTTCTCTTGTTTGTTAAAGATGACAACCTTTGACTTTTTCTCATTCACCTGAAGCTTCCATTTTCTGCAATATGTTTGAAGTGCTGTTAAGTGACCTTGTAGTCCTTCCTTGGTAGTTGACATCTGCATAGAGGATGTGGTTTAGGCCATCAATTGAGCAGTCCTTATTTTTGTTCTTAAAGATTTCTTTGATATCATCGATGAACACATTAAAGAGGGTAGGGCTGCGATTATCCCCTTGTCTGATTCCTATCCTTGATATAAATGGCTTTGTGTACCCTTCCCCAACAGAGATGCCTAATCTGGTGTTACTGTACATTGTTTTAATGATGTTGTAAAATTTTCCTCCTACTCCAGTTTTGAGTAGTTTCAATAGTAGGCCCTTGTGCCACACAGTATCAAATTGACGGCCCCTCCTTAATATGTTAATAACCCTTTGGTGTTTTACTGGGATGCTTTCCCTATCGTTTTGTGGGTCCTAGACTTGAAAGAAATATTTTGACAGTGGTTCATACAGCTAGAAATGTGTGAATTATTCAAAATAATATTTTTGTTTCAGACCAGCCTAAAACAAAATGGCTTCTAACCCTCCGGTACGTCTGAAATGGCTAGAGCATTTTCACCCATCTTGGGTAAATGAAGATTGTGAGACAATGGCAACCAGGGAGGGAACTGCCAAATTGTATGAGCGCCTTTTGATGAATAAAGAAGTGCTCACCTTGCCCCAGCATATATTGCAGCTCAAAGGACCAGTCCTTCCAGATTTTGAACAGGAAGCTCCCTCTTTAGAAGAACAAGAACATTATCTTGATGCTCTTTTGAACAGTCAGTTGTCATTAGCAAGAGTAGTGTGTTCTGATTCGCCATTTGCAGCAGTGCTGCAAAAAAGACTTGTTGTCCTACAGCGTATCTTTCAGGCCATTTCTAGTAAGTTCCACGGAGGACGGGAGCAGAAGGTCAAAGAACATCAATCCAGAAATGGTGGAGAAAGGGGAGAGAATGAGGAAAGGCAGCAAGTGGTGGATAGGACCCCAGCTGGAACATCCGCACTTATTCATATTGGTGTAAGAACAGGACTGAGTCTACTGTTTTCTTTGCTGAAGCAAAACTGGACTCTCCAGGCCAAACTTATGACCACTGGTTCTAACCTTTGCCAGGATGTCCTGTGTACTGCAGCTGATGTGATCCTGTCTTTACCTTCCCTGTCTCTTGCCAATGAGAGTAAACTGCCACCTCTTGGAGTAGAGTCACTGAACCAGGTGACTCAGTTTCTTAAGAGCACCAGTATGCCTACTTCTGGAGCTGATGTTAGTGGAAGAAGAGTGGCATCAGAACTAGTGCTTGCCTTGGCCTCCCAGAGAGGATCTTTGAGGTGAGTATTTTGTTTTTGTGTACTTAAGATTAAATTCTGTTGACATCTTGAACTGTACATGTTGTTGCATCATTTTATTTCTTCCATTTTGCAATTTAAAACTCCAAAGCTTTCTACATATAATATAAACTGATGGCATTATTTACTGTGTAATAAGGTAATTTTGGAACTGTGTTTTTATTTGAAAGTGATTTTATTGTCTTGGATTGTGTGCCTCATTTGCAGATTTCTCTTAGAATGGGTTGAGCTAGCATTGTGTGTGTCAGCAGCTTCCAGGCATGAGTCAGACAGCACAGAGGTAGAACAGCCTGGGAAGATCAACCATTCCTTCTTCCTCAGTATGCTTGGACAGATTGTAAAGTCTGCTGTGAGTGAATGCAATTGGCTTTAAACATTAAAAGCAAGAATTTGAACATTGATATTTAAAGGTATTGGGGAATTTTTGTATCAGAATGTAGGGAGATTGTGATTGATTAGCATGATATGACTAAACAGTGCTATGATGCTCATGGCAGAAATATTTCTATCAGGGTAAAGTGTCTTGAATGAATATTATGAAATTCAGTAAGGAATTGATTGTGAGGCATAAGTTTTAAAAATGTGATAAAGTTTTGTTTTATGGAATATTCCACTCACTGATTTATACCCTAAACCTAAATCTGTTGTTTTCAGTTAGCATTTTAAAATCCTTTTCAGCACATTTTAAATAATACCCTTTTTTATTCATTTATTTATGTTTGCAATGAACAAAGGTACATTGATAGGACTGCTCTCGCAGGATGCATGTGTTAAAGAAGATGGTAAAATGCACATAATGTTCTTTCATAGAGCCTCTTAACTGCATGCCTTATTAACCACTATGTTTTTGTAACAGGGAGGTGTAGAGAGGAACATATCTGGGCAGTCTAATATCCAAGAAGACAGCCAGGGTCTAACCTCTCTCTATGGGGCTGCTGTGTGCTTGATGGAAGAGGTAAAAAGAAATATTAGATAATTTTCAATTGGATAGCTTGATGTGCATTTATATTTGTTGCAAGATATAGAAGTTATAACTTTTTTTCCTCCAGTTATAACTTAACATTAAGTTTAAGAAAGTAGTACAATATGATGATAAAGAATGATGTTTGAGAATTTTTAGCCCCCTCATATATATATATATAAAAAACTACAGTTTAAAATAGGACTTAGGAGAATAGCAGATACTGACAATATAATGATATTTTTTTTAGTTATGCCAGCTAGCCTGTGACTATGCAAGATGTTGTGTTTCTCCTGATGAAAATAAGAACAACCCCATGCAGGACCCAGCCTGTGGCACAGAGGGCTCTGAAGTGTTTGTATGGGGAAGTAACAGCAGTCATCAGTTGGCTATGGGTAGTCAGATGGAGAAAGTGCTGACACCAAAATTGGCAGTTGGCTTTGCTAATGCACAAGTGGTAAGTGTTGGTTGGATGGTATTGTGATATATTGTGCAAGTGTGACAGCATGTCCTTAGCACTGTGCACATTTTGCAAATATGTACATGTACTAATGCACTGTGTATCAATCTTTCTGTCATGGTAGTCAAGGTTTTAAACCCTTAAAATGCAGAGTTCTTGCATAGTTAGTGGACAACAAAAACTATTTTGATGAATCCTATTGTTTAATACGTGTGCAGATCAGACATAAAAATATACATTTATAATTTTTTAATTATTTAAATTACATATATTACATAAAAACAAGATTATAGAATTAAAATGGTAATATTTACATAATTTTTGTGTAGTGCGAGGCTGGACAATATTGCTCATTTGTCATATACCAAGACAGCTCAGTGGCAGCAGTTGGCAAAGGCAGCTATGGTCGTCTTGGCCTGGGAGACTCCAATAATCAATCCACACCAAAGAAGGTGAATTATGAAGGCAAGAAAATTAAAAGAGTGTCCTCTTCTAAAGGATCTGATGGACACACACTGGCTCTGACAGCCGACGGGGAGGTGTACAGCTGGGGAGATGGTAGGTGGTTTTCTAAAGATTTATTGAAAATTAGTTTGTTTTATATTATATTATGCTGCAAATATCAGAGATTTCTAATGGGAGTATTCTTTTTATATCATCTCTTATCAAAGGCATACTTTTTTTACAGGTGATTATGGAAAGCTTGGACATGGCAACACGGCAACTCAGAAATTCCCTAAGCTAATTGCAGGACCACTATCTGGCAAGGTAAGGTATTGTTTTATAAAATAAAGTTAGAACTCTAACCTGCTTACAAATGTGTCTATCCTTAACATGGATACTAAGGTTGATGGGTCTAGGCAACAATGTTGAGGTGATTTTTTTACATTTTTTAAAATGGATTTGGGCCTTCATTTTATACTGCTCTTTACTTTATTTGCACTATGAATACTGTGTCATTTCAGGTTGTGAAGTGTATCTCTGCAGGCTATCGTCACAGTGCTGCTGTCACTGAGGATGGGCAGCTGTACACGTGGGGAGAGGGACAGTATGGGAGGCTAGGTAAAATATGGCTTCACTTGCTCCTTTACTGAAATCAGAGTTTGTTTAGGTTATGGCAAATTGTAATTAAACAGTATTGAAGTCTGTCTTTCTTACTGAAGATTGGTATTTATAATTAGTATAAATAACAATTCTTCTCAATTTTGAAGACAAAATATAAAGATCAACTTATAATAAAAAACCCACAAATTAAAAAAATGTTATATTGTGTCATGATTTTCTGTCTTACCCCTAGGTCATGGTGATAGTAACAGCAAGCACCTGCCCACCCTGGTCAAGTCCATCACAGCTGTGGGACAGGTGGCCTGTGGGAGTTCCTACACACTGGCTGTGTCACAGGATGGACGCACTGTGTGGTCATTTGGAGGCGGTGATAATGGTAAGTGATGGATTCTATAATAGAATTTGGTATTTTATGCCAGATTCATTGGATTGTGATTTTGTTTTCCCCTTTTCCCATTAGGAATCTCTTAGGAATTTAAAATCTCTGCTACAGATGAAGCAGGACATATCCATAGCAGAAATGTAAAAGGTATCTTGTGAAAGAAAATTGTCAATTTTGAACAGCGACCAAAATTAAGATGATCAAAAGTATACATTAAATCTTCTTGGAACTTTGTTTCAGGCAAGCTCGGCCATGGTGACACCACTAGAGTATTCAAGCCTAAGGTCATAGAAACTTTCATAGGTCTGTACATCAGGAAGGTGGCATGTGGCAGCCAGTGCAGCCTGGCTCTGACCTCCACTGGACAGGTGAGTGGTGAAATGTAGTATGTTTTCTGTTATTAAAACTGCAGGTAAATGGCAGGGGAATATATAGTCATTAAAAAAAACTTTCTTTGCAATGTGCACAACAAAGTTAATAATATTTTGTTTTTATGTATTGAGTGTTCTTTTTATATCATAGAAAATGTATTTAAATGCAGAATGTCCCTTGCTACATGAATTTTACAAAATTTACTTGTGTGCTTGATATTTCTTACCAAAGATTTAATGAATTTGGATATCAATATTTATAGATAATATCACCAAACATGGTGGGTATACAGACTGTACGTATCGAGTAACAAAGGATACTTTATTTCTAGAGAATTCTGTATATGTTGATTATTTATTAACTTCTGTCTTTTTAGATTGATTGATTTTGTTTCTCAGAATTATTTTCTCTTTTCATTATTTGTCATTACTTTGTTCCACTAGGTGTTTTCTTGGGGAACGGGCTCTTGTCTTGGCTGTGGTTCAGCAGAAGCCACCTCCATGAGGCCAAAGCTTATTGAAGATCTGTATCCTAGAGCCAGGATTGTTGACATTGCTTGTGGGGACACACATTGTTTGGCCCTTGGTCAAGGTATGGACTGATAGTTTAAAATTACCTAAAAAGGGAAGAAATACATTTTTTGCTACATAAAAGTTTAACAGCCATTCTATGCCTTTAAGAAAAGTTGTTATGAATTTTTAATGTGTGCAATAATTAACAGGATGCAAATAACTAATGTTTGTATTATCAGACAATGAAGTGTATGCCTGGGGAAACAATGCAATGGGTCAGTGTGGACAAGGACACACACAGAGTCCTATCACAAGACCCAAGAAGGTGACTGGATTGGAAGGTACCAGTATTCACCAGATCTCAGCAGGGACATCACACAGTGTTGCATGGACTGCTCTGCCCACTGACAGGTATCTTCTGACTTTCTTTCTTTATTCTAAACATACACAATTATTTTATTTTACTTGTGATTGTACAAAGTGATTTGTAAACAAATGTTTGTGAGAAGAGTTTTTTTGTATATTTATAGATTTTAAAGATATTTTATAATGAATGTTGTTTTAAGGCTTGGGATTTCGTTTCATTTGATCATGTTTTTTTCAGTTGTTCTTTGTATAAAATAACATATAAAATAATAACATTATTGCATCCTTGATCATCACATAACTTTTATACAGCTAAGCAAATGGCTTTTGTTTTCAGACAAGTGGTAGCCTGGCACCGTCCATTCTGTATGGATCTTCAGGAAGGTACTTTTTCCATGTTGAGACTGTTTCTGGAGAGGTACTGTGAGGGTTTGGATAGTGAGGAGCCTCTCCCTCCATACCCAACTAAAAGGTGACCTTTCATACCTGTTTTTTTTTTTTTTTACCTTCAAAATTTACAATAATTTGTATCTTATTCGTGAACTCTTTAAAGTGTAAAGCAAACAATGTGACACAAAGTTTATACGTGTATATGCATAAATTATAATAACAATAATAATAATAATTATTATTATTAAGTATTCTCATAAAACAAAAAGTATCATATATTTCCAGTGCTCATGAAAACTTTACCCTGCTGTGCCTGAAGTTGCTGTCCACACACCTGTCTCTGGCCCTGGCTGGGGGCATGTCCACCTCTGTGCTGGGGAAAGAGGCCAGGCCACTGAGAATGCTGTTGTTTAGACTAATGGATTCAGCAACACCAGAAACTGTCCAACAGGTACTAGGCTTTTTCGTTTGCTAGAAAACTTGTGAGAATTTGTGAGGTGGGGTTAACTTTTCAGTGATATGAGTGAAACTGACTAAGAGTGTGCCTGCAATGGCAGTACAGAAGTGACATGCAAAGCATGGTGAATTTGTATGTAGAATGTAGAAGAAAACATCCAGGAAAAAATCTTTGGATAAATTCTGTCAGCTTATATTCATTGCTGCTTACACCCCTAGCTTGCCATTATGTCTGAGCTACTTTCCTCCAAAATTCCCGCAAAACCTGTGAAATCTCCCTTGATTTTACAATAACTTATTAGACTTTGTGCTGTCACAGTTGATTCCCATTAGCAGCGTGAATGACATTGTCTATGTATAAATACCAGCATTTGGAAGAAGCAACCATTGTAATTGTTATTGAATGTTACAGGCTGTGAGTGAGACTCTGTCAGTGGGTGCCCCTCTCCTGTTGCCTCCCCTACGTGAGAGGATGGAACTCCTCCACTCCCTGCTGCCCCAGGGACCAGAGAGGTGGAACAGTCTCACTAAGGGACAGGTAAGGAGCACAGTACATTTACTGCATAGCAGAAGTTTGCTACATAAAGGAAACGACTTATATTTGTTCTTAAGAAACATTCTAGACTAAAATGGAATTAAGACAGTTATTACTTTTTTGTGGTTTTCAGTTCTTTTAGTGACTTATTTACATATAGTTCTGATTTTTTTATAAGTAGTACAGTTAAGTTACTAAATATCACTGTTTAAATCAAGATTTTGTGGTTTTAAATACAGAATTTTGAATTATTCTGATGGCTCTATGTATTGTGATGTCCTCCTCATCTATTGACCACATAAGGCTATGATAATATCATTTCCATCCACAGAGGATGCAGCTGAGCATCATATTGACCAGTCTGCAGGACAACTGCCATGTTGCCTCTCTGCTGGGGTTTGGGTATGCAGTGGACACCTCTGGCCAGCCTGACCAGATACTGGTCGACTCGGACATGCACCTAGCTGAGTTACTCATGAAGACTATTCTCAGGAATCTTAGTTTTTATACTGTAAGAAGATGGTTTGATTTGTATTAGGAATTTATTTTCTCTTATTTGTTTTGTATTGGTGACTAATCAGGGTGTATTTAGATATTTGAACAATTTTTCAAATTTCAAACCCAGAAATATGTCAATTTTTTAAATTTTTGTCCCATTTTCAGTTAAAAATTTGAATGATAAGATGAAAAAAAAAGATGGGACACACAGTATTTCAGTTTTTGAATCTCATCAAATTATCATGCAGAAAGCATCTTGAGACACGTATGATATTAGTGTTAATCTTGACATCGTCATAATCATTGTCAGATGGAAGTCCTGAATGACTTGGTGGTGGCTGGAGAGAAAGAAGAGAAGCCAAGTGAAGACCTGGGACCACCAGCCTGCCTGCAGCAACTCCTGGGTTCAATGCAGAAACATGTGCTGGCTTATTGCTATGTCAACTCAACAGATGAGTCATTGGTAAGAGATGAAGGGATATGTTACCTCATAAAGTGCCTTTGATTGATAAAGGAACCAAGTTTTCTCCAGCACAGTGTGCCTATTTATGTATTAAGATGTACTTGGTACTGATGGATTTGAAATTTGAATTTATGATAATGTTTGATATGTTTAATTATGTTATATTATGGTTAATATCTTTATTATTTTTATCAATACATTTATGAAGTTTTGACACAATATGGCATATTAAGTAGTTAATACTAGTTATGGTTCAACTTTTCCAGACCTCTCCAGCCTTAGGTTTGCTGCACAAGCATCTGTCCCTGATGCTGCCCTTGACAGGAGAGATTTTCCAAAAAGCATGGTCTATTCTCATAGACCATGGTCAGTCTGAAGAGCTGCTAAATAAGATAAAAGGTAAAGAAACAACAAAATAAAAAAATGAGGATATCCAAAACTAAATTACACGATGAAAATCAAAGTTTTGTAGCAAAAAAAAGTTGATAATAAGGTGCTTTGTGCAACCACCACTTCAAATTGATTGTTTCTTCTATAACTTTAAAGTGTAAATTTTAAGGCTTTAGTTGATGGAACTTCAAACAGGTACGGAATTTATGAAAAAGTTGAATATTATTAGAAGTTATTTACTGATTTTTTTTATTTTTTTATTTTTATTATTATAATTATCATTATCATCATCATCATCATACCTGACAATCCTCCTTCAATTCTCTTCCCAGATCTTCTCTACAGTTCCCAGGCCGGAGCCTTACTCTTCCAGATGATCCACTCACTGCAGCTCCTTCCAGTGAAGACCATTATTCCTATCCTACATGATCTCCTGGCACTACTGCCTACCATAGACAAACTGAACAGACTCCTGCCAGCAGCCACAGTGGTGGAGGACCAGGAACTGGGCTGGCCACTTCACTGTAAGCTAAGTTTATTTTACCATTTTGGTTTAGCTTGTGGCTACATTATTTTACAAAAAAAAAAACTGAAATTTTCACTTATAAGCTTGAATTTTAGATATATTCAGTCTGAATCTGTAACTCAAAGGAGGGGTTGAGGGTGGGGGGAGAGTAATTGATCCCATTATTCTTAATGGTACTTTTAAATAATCCCTTTAAATAATCAGTGGTTTTATAGGTTATAAATGTTTCACTATGGAATATTCTTCTCTATTTTATAATATTCTTTAATATCCTCAGCTACCCCTGAGAGTGCAGATGCCTCTATTGTGCCCCTCACCCCTCCAGTTCAGTCCTGGGTGTGGCTGGTGGACCTGGAAAGGGCATGTGCACTGCTGGTGGGGAGGTGTATTGGAGGTATGCTGATGGGGGCCCCAATGTCCAGTGAGGAGAAAGAGACAGCTGGCTGGCTGCAGGCACACTTACTTAGCAACGGTCTGGAGATGTCTGCTGAAGAACTGGGTGAGGAATATTTAAGAATTAAGGAAATACTTAAAATAAAATAGTTGCATTTGAAAGTAGAACTTTTGAATTTCAAAGTTGAGAATACTGGTACTGTAGTTTTTATTAACAATGATTAGTTAATTTGTTAATTTTGATGAGAAAGTTGTATGCTGCATCCAAAATGAAAATTGCTTAGACTTGTGGTTATGGTTAATAATGACAGTAATCATCTTAATTGCTGATAATTGTATTTTAGACAAAGTCTTGGATTGTGTTGTCACTTCTGCTATAAGTGGTTGTGGGGACTCGGAGGACAGCAGCTCTGATGTACAGATACCACTTTCTGGAAAGATCCCAGTTCTTTTACAAATAGCACAGGGCCAAAACACTGGGCCAGCTGCTGATATATGTCAACAAATGCTGGAGTATGCTCGATCAAGAGGTGAGTAATGTTATATGTTTATTATGAGTACAGTTTGGTGAAAATTTGATTCAAGATTACCAGCTCTCTTGAATGTCTGTTGTGTAAGAATTTGTAAGTTTTGGTCCTTTAATTTTTCTAGTAAAATGGTGTACATGTGTCAAATGGAATGTTTTACAGAAAAAAATGAATGAAGAGAAATGACAAGTTAGTGTACATTTTTTCTTCCATGCCTTTCAGAATGGGATTGTACAGAAGAAGAGGATGATCCACTACTTACCACAGTATCCAGATATACCTTGGCTTGTTTCCTCAAACACACTGATCTACTGAATCAGACTGTTTCCTCTTCCAAGTATGACTTTTTCATTTTTTTAAATTGAAAATCAGCAAAGTTAGGACAAAATTACAATTGAGATGAGCAATATGCCAAAATGTAAAGTAGTTCACTTATGAAAAATATAGACAGAAGCTATTGTTTTCATCGTTTAATATTGAAAATATACAAAAAGTTGTTATAATTGATATCATTGTACATGCTTTGGCATCATCATTAGATATATATTATGTAAACAATCAATTTCAGCACTGTCCCAAATAAGCAAATGCTAGAGATTTACAAAGCAGTGTTCAAGGTTCGCCAAAAACTCATGGCCATTAAATCAAGCCAGCCAGAACCTGGAGAGGCCCAGAGTCAGCCTGTTGTTGATGAAGGGGAAAGAGAAGAAGAGACAAGAGGAACACCAAGGGAGTCTATGGAAAACAGAGAAGAGGAGGAAAGGAGCAGGGAAGAGGAGAGGGAAGAGCCTGATAGTAATGAGATAGCTGGGGAAAGAAGGAGAAGAGAAATGAGAGAAAGACTTCGTGAGCTGGCTGGAGAAATCATGGGGGCTGAGGACAGGCGTGAGAGAATGCGCGAAAGGGAGCCAGAGAGACTGAGAGAAAGGGAGAGAGAACCAGAGGGAAGAGAAGACATTGAGGAACCAGACACACAAACGGTTAGAGATGACTGGAAGAGGAAAAGTAAGCAGAAAGTAAAGGGGAATGTTTTAGGTGAGTATTATTGGATCAGATTCTAATAAATAATATAGAAATAATTGTATTAAAGTACTAGACAGAGTGAAACATTTATACAAGTTTGTTTATATTATTGTATCTTAGAATATCATTTCAATATATTAAACAATTAAATTAAATATTTATGTAAGCCTAATAGTACTGCACCCATCTTGCTTTAAAGTTAATTTGGTTTTGTTATTAGGACTTGGCGTGATTGTACGTCATTCTGATTCTTTTTAGATGCAGCAAGTAGTTATGAGGCTGTTTGTAAGGCTGTGATAAGAAGATGTGCCTTGTTGCTCTGTGGAATAAAAACTGCTCTTACAGGTAAAATATACAAGAATCTCCATCAAACATGTGCCTCTCCATTTCTGAGCCATTTAGATTGTGTGAAATGGAAAAAATCCCTTTAAAATGCTAATTTTGATATACCATGAACGTCTGCTGTATCTCAAAACCTGCAAATTCTTTATCTGTCAACCCAGTTTTAACGTACAATTCTTCTTTGAATTACGTTCTTGGAACAGGGAAATAATTTCCAAATATATACATTGTATTTAATTGGGTAAATAAACATCATTATAATAACTCTCTTATTGTTATTCCAGAGTAGTATATGTGTGAATTTCCTACTAATTTTGTTGTGGTATGTTAAATTGTTATTCCAGAGGAGGATTTGTTCCCCTCAGTACCAGAGCATGAAGAGTCAGGTAACCTGGGCTCCCCTCTGGCCATTGCCAGGTCTGGCAGTCACCCACAGCTGAGCCAAATGTGGCAGCATAACCGGATGACCACATTGTCTGACACCAACACTGTATGTACTGTCCGATATTTACATCTTCTGTTTCGGGAACATGTTTGTTTTTCCTTTACAGATGATTTTTAATGGTGGTTTTTGATTAGTTAAGTTATGCTTAGAGATTGTCATCAAACTCCACAAAGAATTTTTACAAAATCATGATTTGTATTTTCTTCAGTGGAATTTGTTTATTTTCTTTGATAGTTGTTCTAATATAGGTTGTAAGAGTTTTTGTTATTGCTTAGAATATTGGTATGCGTCTCCACAGAATTGTCATAAAAGCATGGTTTCAAGTGTAACAGTCACACAACTGCAAGTCATGAGTTGTTAGCAAGTTGGAAGAATGTTGGATGCTTTGAAAGCACATTCTTGAAATTAAATCCATGTCATTGCATTTCATCTTAAAGGAACAGTCAGGAGTACAACAGATGGGCTCACTACAGGCTGTCAAAGAAACATTGAAGAGACTACGCTGGAGACGTGATCGCCTCACCTCCCACCACCATCCAGAATCCGACTCTCATACGATCCTGAAGACTGTTCTGAAAGAGTTGACACAGTTTGTATTGGATGAAGGTCTGCCAGAGAGTGTGAAGATGATTTCTGGGAATGTAGAGGAGGAACTTGGAGCCAGCACAAGACCACAGGTTATTGCTAGGGCTATGGAACATCAGCAAGTTAGGGCAGAGGTATGATGGAGTTGTGAAGTCACACAGAGTGATGTTTTTTTTAAAGCTAGAATACATGGTAATAACTCAGTCTTTTCAGTGGGAAAATTGTGAATTTTACAAACACTTTTTTCAAATCATAATTTTTTTTACATTAGAACATTGTTATTGAGTGTCAGCAACAAAATTGAAAAGAAACCTTACAGCTACCTTACAGTTTCATTCTACACAGTAATAGCACCACAAGCAAAATGTATTTCAATGATTCTGAAATTATGTATCCAAAAAATTGATAATTTTACCCCCTTGAAAAGATTAAATCATAACGGTATAATTCATGTGGGATATTAAGCATTTTAACAAATTTTTTTGTAGAAGTAGAATGTGAAAGATGTTATCTGAAGAAGAAAATAATATAAACATATCTGACATGTTCCAGTGTCGCATGGAAGCATTGAACCAGATGCTGGAGATGCTGTCCCCAGACAAGGACATCAGACAGGAGAGTGCTGGTGGCAACACAGACAGCTTCTCTGCCTCTCACCCTGTGATGACCGTCACCTCCTTACTGACCTCTGTACACCTCCAGATTCTGGCTGGCTGCTTTGATCTGGGTGTTATGAACAGTGACCACATCAATGACTGTCATATATATCATTATCAGGTAACTGTAGTCGTATTGACAAAATTTGTTTTTGAAAAAGAGCTCACATTTCTCAGCACAGTTGGTGACAGTTATGGCAAATGGTCACTGTTTTCTGTGACAAAAGTGGATTGTTCTAAAGCCACTAGACAAATACTACATGCTTAGAACTCTAGATCCAGTATTTTGTTCTTCAAGCACACAGCACACAGTTTGAAATTGTTAATAACCAATCGAGGGAATCAACAATGATTCATAGTTATCAACTGTACATACATCAGTTATAGCTTCTGATTTTGAAATTATTGTGAAATGTGATTTTGTGATTATTTCAGGATGGGGTTAGAGCAGCCCCAGCGCAGAGTCAGCAAGAGATCCAGTTTGCTGTGCATAAAATTTATGAATTGTTGGTGGAAGCTCTAGACAGGCAGGAAAAAATTGGAGGAGTGAACAAAGGCAGGTATCTTTAGTTGCATCCAAATGCAGCTGTAAAATGTGCATTGATAAGGGCATAATGGGTATATTAAGGGTATAATTGAAGATAAAAACCTATCCATGTGAATTTTATTAAGAGTCATTTTGCCTAATTTTATGCAGTTGCTGATTCATATATACTAACTGAATTTTAAAAACACTTTGCAAGTTGACTTTTCTTTTTCTATATAATATTGCAAAATGTTATTGTTCATATTTTTTTTTTACTTTAGGAGCACAACAACGGCTAACACTTGTGACAATCTTTGCCCTGAGTGTCAAATATCAGCCAATAGACATATCACTAGCTGTGTCCACTGGTTTGCCCCAGATGTTGGTCAAGTTCTGTAATTCACTGTTGTCCTTTGTTCGACCACTACAGCCAATACTTTATAGTGGACAATCCCAGCTGGATATTGTACTAGAGGTGGCCAGTATAAGACTGCTGCAGATACTGGCGATTACTGGAGGGTAAGTAGTAATACAATTTCACTTAATGTATGTGTTAGTTGAGTAAGAATTTATTAAGAATTTATTATATAAACTAAGTAATCACTTTTGTATTGAATTGTAAATCAGAAACATTCCATATCTTCCAAGGGTATATCAGTAATTCCTTTAAGGTAGTTCATCTTTTCATGTTGAAGTCCACCTTACCAGTGTTATATCAAGAGGGTAGATATACTCTACTTTACTTTGGCAAGTGGTTTATGCCANATTTTTAATTATTTAAATTACATATATTACATAAAAACAAGATTATAGAATTAAAATGGTAATATTTACATATTTTTGTGTAGTGTGAGGCTGGACAATATTGCTCATTTGTCATATACCAAGACAGCTCAGTGGCAGCAGTTGGCAAAGGCAGCTATGGTCGTCTTGGCCTGGGAGACTCCAATAATCAATCCACACCAAAGAAGGTGAATTATGAAGGCAAGAAAATTAAAAGAGTGTCCTCTTCTAAAGGATCTGATGGACACACACTGGCTCTGACAGCCGACGGGGAGGTGTACAGCTGGGGAGATGGTAGGTGGTCTTCTAAAGATATATTGAAAATTAGTTTGTTTTATATTATATTATGCTGCAAATATCAGAGATTTCTAATGGGAGTATTCTTTTTATATCATCTCTTATCAAAGGCATACTTTTTTTACAGGTGATTATGGAAAGCTTGGACATGGCAACACGGCAACTCAGAAATTCCCAAAGCTAATTGCAGGACCACTATCTGGCAAGGTAAGGTATTGTTTTATAAAATAAAGTTAGAACTCTAACTTGCTTACAAATTTGTCTATCCTTAACATGGATACTAAGGTTGATGGGTCTTGGCAACAATGTTGAGGTGATTTTTTTACATTTTTTAAAATGGATTTGGGCCTTCATTTTATACTGCTCTTTACTTTATTTGCACTATGAATACTGTGTCATTTCAGGTTGTGAAGTGTATTTCTGCAGGCTATCGTCACAGTGCTGCTGTCACTGAGGATGGGCAGCTGTACACGTGGGGAGAGGGACAGTATGGGAGGCTAGGTAAAATATGGCTTCACTTGCTCCTTTGCTGAAATCAGAGTTTTTTAAGGTTATGGCAAATTGTAATTAAACAAAATTGAAGTCTGTCTTTCTTACTGAAGATTGGTATTATTAATATAAATAACAATTCTTCTCAATTTTGAAGACAAAATATAAAGATCAACTTATAATAAAAACACCCACAAATTAAAAAAATGTTATATTGTGTCATGATTTTCTGTCTCACCCCCAGGTCATGGTGATAGTAACAGCAAGCACCTGCCCACCCTGGTCAAGTCCATCACAGCTGTGGGACAGGTGGCCTGTGGGAGTTCCTACACACTGGCCGTGTCACAGGATGGACGCACTGTGTGGTCATTTGGAGGAGGTGATAATGGTAAGTGATGGATTCTATAACAGAATTTGGTATTTTTATGCTAGATTAATTTGGTTGTGATTTTATTTAAATATATTACCATATACCAAGACAGCTCAGATTTTTCCAATTTGAATTTTCCCAAACAATATTTTGATTTTTATTATGAAATTTGATTAAAAAAATTTCTACTACAGATAAAGTATCTATATCTATATGTGGAAGAGAAGTATCGATTTTGAACAGCATCCAAAATTAAGATGATCAAAAGTATACATTAAATCTTCTTGGAACTTTGTTTCAGGCAAGCTCGGCCATGGTGACACCACTAGAGTATTCAAGCCTAAGGTCATAGAAACTTTCATAGGTCTGTACATCAGGAAAGTGGCATGTGGCAGCCAGTGCAGCCTGGCTCTGACCTCCACTGGACAGGTGAGTGGTGAAATGTAGTATGTTTTCTGTTATTAAAACTGCAGGTAAATGACAGGGGAATATATAGTCATTAAAAAGAAAAACTTTTTTGCAATGTACACAACATTTTTGAAATGACATTTTGTTTTTTTGTGTGTTGAGTGTTACTTTTCTAAAAAAAAATTATTTAAATGCAGAAAGTCCCTTGCTACATGAATTTTTTTAAAATTTACTTGTATGCTTGACATTTCTTACCAAAGATTTAATGAAATGGGTTATCAGTATTTATAGATATTATCACCAACCGCGGTGGGTATACAGACTGTACATATTAAGTTTTACAGGATACTTTATTTCTAGAGAATTCTGTATATGTTGATTATTTATTGACTTCTGTCCTGTTAGATTTGTTGATTTTGTTTCTCAGAATTATTTTCTTTTTCATTATTTGCCATCACTTTGTTCCAATAGGTGTTTTCTTGGGGTACTGGCTCTTGTCTTGGCTGTGGTTCAGCAGAAGCCACCTCCATGAGGCCAAAGCTTATTGAAGATCTGTATCCCAGAGCCAGGATTGTTGACATTGCTTGTGGGGACACACATTGTTTGGCCCTTGGTCAAGGTATGGACTGATAGTTTAAAATTACCTAAAAAGGGGCTGTTGATAATTTAAAGAAATACATTTTTGCTACATAAAGGTTTAACAGACATTGTAAACTTTTAGGAAAAGTTATCAACTTTTAATGTGTGCAATTATTAACAGGATGCAAATAACTAATGTTTGTATTATCAGACAATGAAGTGTATGCCTGGGGAAACAATGCGATGGGTCAGTGTGGACAAGGACACACACAGAGTCCTATCACAAGACCCAAGAAGGTGACTGGATTGGAAGGTACCAGTATTCACCAGATCTCAGCGGGGACATCACACAGTGTTGCATGGACTGCACTGCCTACTGATAGGTAACTTCTGACTTTCTTTCTCTATTCTAAACATACACAATTATTTTATTTTACTTGTGATTATACAAAGTGATTTGTAAACAAATGTTTGTAAGAAGAGTTTTTTGCATATTTATAGATTTTAAAGATATTTTATAATGAAGGCTTGGGATTTTGTTTCGTTTGATAATGTTTCTTAAATAGTTCTTTTATAAAATCACATATAGAATAATAACATTATTGCATCCTTGATCATCACTTAACTTTTAACAGCTAAGAAAATGGCTTTTGTTTTCAGACAAGTGGTAGCCTGGCACCGTCCATTTTGTATGGATCTCCAGGAAGGTACCTTTTCCATGTTGAGACTGTTTCTGGAGAGGTACTGTGAGGGTTTGGATAGTGAGGAGCCTCTCCCCCCATACCCAACTAAAAGGTGACCTTTCATGCCTCTTCATGCTCCTTCAAAATTTACAATAATTTGCATCTTATTCATGTACTCTTTTTAAAGTGTAAAGCAAACAATGTGATACTAAGTTTATACCTGTATATGCATAAATTATTATTATTATTAGTAGTAGTAGTAAAAAAAAGTATCATATATTTCCAGTGCTCATGAAAACTTTACCCTGCTGTGCCTGAAATTACTGTCCACTCACCTGTCCCTGGCCCTGGCTGGGGGCATGTCCACCTCTGTACTGGGGAAAGAGGCCAGGCCTCTGAGAATGCTGTTGTTCAGACTCATGGATTCAGCAACACCAGAAACTGTCCAGCAGGTATTAGGCTCTTTCATTTGCTAGAAAACCTACTGTTGGTAATAGACAGTCATTTGAAAGAATGTTCAAGATAAGTGCTGGGAATATATACATGAATAAATTCTGTCAGCTGTAATTCATTGCTCCCTACATTCTCTAGTCTGCCATTATTTCCAAATTTCTGAGACTTTCCTTGAAATCCTGAAAGTGAAATATTACTTGATTTTAAAATAACTTATTAGACTTTGTGCCATCATAGTTGTTGCTCATTAGCAGCGTAGTCTCTTATCTGATTTGAATGACATTGTCTTTGTATAAATACCAGCATTTGGAAGCAGCAACCATTGTAATTGTTATTCACTATTACAGGCTGTGAGTGAGACTCTGTCAGTGGGTGCCCCTCTCCTGTTGCCTCCCCTACGTGAGAGGATGGAACTCCTCCACTCCCTGCTGCCCCAGGGACCAGAGAGGTGGAACAGTCTCACTAAGGGACAGGTAAGGAGCACAGTACATTTACTGCATAGCAGAAGTTTGCTACATAATGGAAACGACTTATATTTGTTCTTAAGAAACATTCTAGACTAAAATGGAATTAAGACAGTTATTACTTTTTTGTGGTTTTCAGTTCTTTTAATGACTTATTTACATATAGATCTGATTCTTTTATAAGTACTTCAGTTAAGTTACTAAATATCACTGTTAAAAGTAAGATTTTGTGGTTTTAAATACAGAAATTTAAAAGAAAGAACTTTGAATTATTCTGATGGCTCTATGATCTGTGTTATCCTCCACATCTATTGACCACATAAGGCTATGATAATATCATTTCCATACACAGAGGATGCAGCTGAGCATCATATTGACCAGCCTACAGGACAACTGTCATGTGGCCTCTCTGCTGGGGTTTGGGTATGCAGTGGACACCTCTGGCCAGCCTGACCAGATACTGGTCGACTCGGACATGCACCTGGCTGAGTTACTCATGAAGACTATTCTCAGGAATCTTAGTTTTTATACCGTAAGATGGTGGTTTGATATGTATTAGGAATTTATTTCCTCTTATTTGTTATTTCCTCTTTTTTTTTTTTTAGATATTTGAACAATTTTTCAAATTTTAAACCCAGAAATATGTCTTTTTTTTTTTTTTGCCCCATTTTCAGTTCAAGAACTTGGAATTTAAATGATAAGATGAAAAAAAAAAGATGGGACACACAGTATTTCAGTTCTTTAATCTCATCAAATTATCACGCAGAAAGTATCTTAAGACACGTATGATTTTAGTGTTAATCTTGACATCGTCATAATCATTGTCAGATGGAAGTCCTGAATGACTTGGTGGTGGCTGGGGAGAAAGAAGAGAAGCCAAGTGAAGACCTGGGACCACCAGCCTGCCTGCAGCAACTCCTGGGTTCAATGCAGAAACATGTGCTGGCTTACTGCTATGTCAACTCAACAGATGAGTCACTGGTAAGAGATAAA